GCTCTTCAAGAAATTCTTTAATTAAATTTGGGGGAACTTTATTTGTTTTACATTATCTTTAATAAAAAGGTAAGACTATAATTTATTTTTAAGTTTGCAACTCTTGATAAAGTCATTCATTGTTTTAACTACAGTTAAATCGTATTTGAAGCAGTCCACTTATTATTAATTAGAAAGAAATGTTTAACAAATACAAGAGTTATTTTCTCAATTTTTTCATGTGCATGAGTGGGTCCAATGATGGGTTTCCGGGAAGAGAGGGCGAACGCATAGGTTTTTTCCAAGCAGGCGGACAGAGGATCTCTAATACTGCAACTAAATGCTTTGCAATTATCACATCTGTGGCTTGTTGTTGGCTGGGTTTCGCTCCAAGTCCCCCACTGAGTGCCCCCCCATCCATGGGCAGCGCCTAAACAAGTTTGTTTATTGAGTCCCCGTCGCTTTTTGATGGATTTACGCGGCAACATTGACACATTGACACTGCTTAGCATATTGGGGGGAGCCATTAGGACCGGACAACTCCCACTTGGAAGGCAGCTGGCGCTGACCTGCGAAACCGCCTCTCCACCAACGAACACCCCCCAACCACCAACTTCTCCCCCGCACCACTCATTACCCAGCTGCAGTTGAGGTTTTCTAATTTATTTCGTATGCATGGCCGTTAAGTGTAATTGGTCAGTGAAAAGGATGATGAGGCTAACTGCAAGTTAAGTTGGTGGGGGAAAATCATGGAGCAGAAGGAGGAGGAGGAAGGGGGAGGGGAGAGTCGGGAAAATTACCTGTATTTCCTGTGGCTCAACCCGAAGATTGATGATAATCGTGCGTCGTGTGTGTCAAGTTAGTGGCCCAGGCCAAGTAATTTCCAGCGATAGCAGGCGGGTGTACATATGTGGGGCCCCAATGCTGAATCTTGAATGCTGACTGCTGAATCTTGAATGTTGAATGCTGAATGCTATCAGCTGAGGTCTTGTCATAAATGTGAAAGTCACAAATGGCACCTCCTCCACGGCCAGGCCCCCGTGCAAGCCCACCTGACAAATCGCTTGTTTAATTCCTCCTCTTTGAGTGGTACTCCGAATCCCTCCCCATCCGCCTGCGTTTACCGTTGAGTGGCCAAAGACGCCTCCAGGCTTAACACTTCCCAGCGAGGAGCAGCGCCGAAAAGAGTTCTCCAATCCCGATCCCGAGCCCGAGATCCTTGGATCTGCCACCAGCAGCCGAAAACGTGACTGGAATCCCACACAGGGGCTGCGATGGAGACGACGACGACTAAGACGACGATGGGCATAGTGACACAGACCAGGGAGATCGTTGGATCAGGAGATCGGGTGGAATTGCGGGGAGACATTGAGTCAGACAATTGCATAATCTAGCCGTGGCCATGGCCATGGCAATTGCGATTGGACTGCAATTTCAGTTGCACTTGCAATCCCAGACGAAACTCAGAGATCCACACACAAACACACACACACTAGTTCATAAAACAATTGTTGCAACATTGCGGATGCCTCAAGGCTACAGTAGGAGAAAAGAAACATAAAAGAATACTTAACTTTTCAATAAGAAAGTTTTAGCTTCGCAGAAATCAGTAAAGTTTGCATTCCTTTGGGGCTTTTGAAAGTAATTTTAACACTTACTCAAATCTACGTTTTAAGTGAAAAATACGATTTAAACATTATAATATTGATGAGGTTAAATGGTGGGTGTTAATAGAATTAGTTAATCATAGCTTTCTGTTTAGCAATCCCACACTTAAATCACTTTTAATTTTATAATATAGATATAATATTGCAACTGAGGAATAAACCAATCTTTACCAATCTGGAAACAACTTTGGAATTTCTGATATTGCAGTTGGTATTTGCTATATTTTCTTTCAGTGCAGATCAGCTGAGTGGGGACAAACTCAGAGCTCTGGCCAAGTGGTAGGAGGAATTGTCTTTCCCACCTTTCACGACTGCTCTTCTCCGGCGGTGGAAGTGGGAAGGGAAGGCAAGAGCTGGCGATGACTGCGGCCACAAAACGATGCCATTTGCATGGCAATGATTTGGTTATTTTGGCCAAAGCAAGGCTCCCTTACCCCCTTTCGCCGCCGGTCTGAGCCACATCTGGTCTTGAGTTGGCCGGAGTCGGAGTCCCCGAGACTTGAGTTGACTTGGCGTGGCTTGTAAACGATTTTGCACGTTGCAATTGTCGGCTGCAGTTGTTGTCTTATTGATTTGTGCATTCATTTGATTGTGCGCGCGCATTTGTTGCCAAATTGTTTGAAGGAGAGCCAACCAACCAGGGCCAAAAACATTGTCGTGGCTGCTGATTGCGATAGGCGCATGGAACAGAACGGTGGTGGTGCTTGGGGAGCCTCTTGGCCGAGTGGTGCTGACTCTGCTGTCCTGTCCAACTGCCTTGGAGGCATTTTCAACCGCTGATGACTCCCCGAATTGCTGCCTCCGCTGTGATATTTCATGCTCCCCATCCGCATCCACTACGCTTAGTTTTCCAGGGAACTTCGCTACGGGTCATTTTCGGCCGTAATGTTATTTCTTTTAAATTTATTGTTAATGGAAATTTATGCTCCGCGCGGCGTTCAACGGTTGCGGCAACAAGCTGCTTACAAGATTGGACGGCGGGGTTGGCTCATGTGGCACGTTTTGCTGATTTGTCATGTTCGCAGGTTAAATGCTAATGCCTCGGTCTCACTCAGACTTCGATCCCAACTCCCACTCTGCCACTCAATCTGATTTCGAGCAGAGAAATTACTCCGCAGAGGTATTCCTCCAGAATGTGGGTTAAGTTTATGTCTACGTCTGTGTTCCTTTTTTTTTTGTTTTTTGGCTCTGTCTCGAAGCGGTTTAGGGTTCTCACGAGTTGGCTTGCCCCATAAAAATGGTGTCAAATAAATTGTAATCAGCGGCCGGCAATAAAAATTCAATAAAAGAAGTTGCAGAAAAGCCAGACAAGGGCCGAGACATTTGGAAATTCTATTATTGCGGAGTTGCAGTCTGCAGTTTCGCCCACAGCCAACATTCAACATTCAGAGCCAACAACTTTATTGCACAAGCCCCTGGCCTTCGTTTCTTTCTCAGTTCTGACCACCAGACCGAACAATCCTACTTGGAGGTCCACCCCTTTTTTTTTAACAACGAATACATTTAAATATACACATCTACTACTTTTTGGCTCTGCGGCTCATTAGCTCATTCGTTTTAAGCAAACTTAATTTTACAAAATGACTTCAAAGCCCAAAAGCTGTAATCTCATAAAATCTGCAATTAAGAGTTGTTCGCCTGAGCTTCATTTAAGGGCATCCTGCCTTTATAAATATTTATAAGGATTAATGTTCTTAAAAAACATGATTGCTGGGTATTTAATTGGAGCAACCCAGTTGTTCCCTTGCCTCTGCCACTCAATTACTCCACATTGCTTGTGGACTCCGCCGTCCTTATCCCCATTTGCAGAACATTCCCATCTCATCCCATCCGCTTTGAGGAATTGAATGACCGGCTGCCATGTCTGTCTGTAATTTGGAATCCATCAGGCCTTTTCAACGCCTCATCTCCGGCGTCCTTAATGTTCCATTAATGCCCTTGCCTGGGTATTTGTTTTATTGGTGGCTTTCCTTCTGCCGCCTCATTCACTCTCATTCTGTCCTCAGTCTTCTGTCTTCTGTTCTCTTGGGCGGAAGTCAGACTGCCTTTTGTGGGCAGGCCGGCTCTTATTTTAATTTCTTCGGGAGCCGCTTGCATTACGCCCACCTTGGGGCTACCGCTCCGATTACACATTTGCAGACTTGGTGAAAAACGGAGGGGCGCTTTTCCAGCAGCAGAGGAGGAGGAGGAGAAGTGGCTTTTCGAGGGTTGGAAGAACAAGAGGTAATGCAGTTGCATTGGGTTTAATTGCCTTGGCTAGCGCTTTTCCGCATTTACTGTCCGATCTCATTGTTTCGAGTGGGTTTCACTCTCGCAATGGCTAATTAAACCAAATTATCGCATGTCCACGGCTCGGATTGCCGAGCAAATCTTTGCGTCGAGAGTGCGCCACTCGGATTCCGGATTCCACCCAGAAATTGCAAATTTACTCTCGGCCATTAGTCCGAGATTAAGTAGTTAGAGTCAATTATTTAAATTAGTTTCGCCGGCTGCAAATGGCAATGGTCGGTCGGTCCAAGATGCCAATTCTGTTCTGTTGCGGTCGCAGGTCTGCTCTAAATCCTCGAGAACTAATGGCCTCGTCAGCAGAGCATTTAAGCCGATAATTTCGTGGCATCCTACACATGTTCGACGGTAATAAGAATTTGATTGCCCGGTCGGGGCTGAGGCTGAAATTATGCCAAAGCGAGAGCCAAGCCTCGCCAAACTAAACCAAAGCAGTGTGTGAGTGTGTCTTGGGCTAATGCCAGGTTTTTGCTTTCCACCGGCCCCAGAAAGTAGCCCTGCGGGTTTATTAAGCCACCTCGATATAAGACAACGCAAAAAAAAAGCTACACTCAGATGAATATTTTGCAAAAAATGTGAAGATGAACCATCAAATCTATAAATTAATAATAATTTAGAAATTTAGAAGTTATGATAGTTAACATGACCAACCTATTTTAAAGATAGTTTCGAAATCATAATCCAAACAATAAATAATAAGGTCAAAGTAATATTGGTTCTACTATGAATCATTCTATATTTACTATATAAGTACTTCCCTCTAATATACAACATAATTTCAAGTGTAATAACGAGTGAAAAACAAAAGACTTAAGTCACAAACTTGCTCCGCAACACATGGCAATTATGTTTGGCAATTGTTTAGTGTTTGCTACCCGGGTCCATCTCGTCAACGTCCGAAGACGATGATGATAGGGGGCGTGGCCGGCTAGCCAGTCGAGAATCGAGAATCCAGTCCAGCTCCGATTACTGGACGACATGCTAGCCCACTTTTAACAAAATATACGAAGAATGTGGAAGCGGCAGCACAGATTTAGTAACCATTTTGTGATTTTCTTATGATTTCAGGCTCGCACAAGGTGCACTGCTCGGAGGATCAGATGCGGGTAGACATCGGTCTGCCGGATGCGGACTCCCAGGATCAGAGTGCCCCGCAGATCTACTTGGAGGGACTGAAGGGCTATCCGGACGTCCGATGCCAGCCGCAAATCGATGGATCTCTGGCCGTGTTTAGGCTTTCGCTGAGCGACTTTTACGAGTGCGGAGTCACGCGGATGGTCAACCAGCTGACGGTGAGAAGAGCTTCCCATGTGCTGCGAACCAATCCCATCTAGCTCCAGATCCATTCGCTTTCAGGGCAAGAAGGTGTATTACCATAAAATCATCATCGAGTCGGCCAGCAGCAAGGAGATCGTCAGCGTTAAGTGCATCACCACGGCCAGTCCCGCCTATAATGTGATGATGAATGCCACCACCGGATCGAGTTCCACGGCCAGCGGTATCCGCGGCCTGGTCAAGCGGGATGTGCTGCCGGCGGGATTCCAGGAACCCGAGTAAGTCCCTCGGCGGGCACGCTCCCGATTCGAGCGGGCTGTCGTCTCTCTTCCCGCTTTTAATTGCCCATAAATGCAAAATGCACATCTATGCACAATTTTATGGGCAATCTATGCAAGAGTTTATGGCATATTAAATGCCCTGGCCAGCCCTGCTTCTAGCCATTCCGAAACCCAACCGGGGGGCCATAAATCAAAGCTATCCCAGCTTAATGCCTCCCACTCCCACTCCTCAGTTTCCCCCTCTCTCTCTCTCTTTCTCTCTGTCTTGGTTTTGGCTTTTCCGAGAGTTGCCATTACCAGAAGGTAATTAGCCGCCAAATCGACGCCGGCGGCTTCACGTGCGTTAATACCTCCACAGTCAATTTAATTGCGGGGCGTGTCGGAGTCCGACTGGCAAGTCTTGGAACTGCGTTTTTGCCAGCGGTTCCCTGCTGCTGCCTCCCTGATCGAATACAATGTTTGTTTTACATCGGCGAGGCATTGATTTACTACTTTTGCGACGAGGATCCTCCCCGTTGCTGATCATTAGGAGCCCGTATTGCCAGTACTTAAAATGTTACTTCAATATTCTTTTAGGGACTTGGAAATCACCACTTCGTTGACCAAGCGGGCTCCCGAACCACGGCTGTCGATTGGCGTTAGCCAGGATGGTCAGAAGTTCACCAGGGATTTGACGGTCAAGTCGGTAAGTGACTTAATTAAATAGGATTTATTATAAGTTATAATAATAAAATAATACTTATACAACATATTTTCTCTTGAATAGTAAAAACTAAAAGATACGGATTCCCTTTTTTTTAACAACAACTTAATTTATATGAGCAGTATAAATATAAATTTCATTAATACAAATTAAAATCAATCATTTTTATTACTAAATATAGGGCACTCCTTTGACCATGGAAATCAACCTCGATGAAGACTCTGCCCCTGTTTATGGACTTGGTGTGAACTATCTGGATGTGACGGATACGCATACCTCATCGGAAACGCTGATCTTCAAGGGGTAAGCCCTTTATATGCTTAAAAAGATTAAGCAATTAATCACCGTGTTTCCCTACCAACCCAGCTGCACTGTGGATCCCTATTTGTTTGAGAACTTCAACACCGTCGACGGCGACATTTTGAGCGCCAAGTTTAAGGCCTTCAAGTTCCCCGACTCGTCGTATGTCCAATTCCGGGCCACGGTCAATGTGTGTTTGGACAAGTGCCTGGGTACCCAGTGCTCCAACAACCAGGTGGGATTCGGGCGACGCAAGCGGGAGATCAGCTCAGCGAACAAGGTCTACGAAATCTCGCTGACCATGTTCCTGCAGGTGCAAGACATCGAGGGAGTCAATAAGAGTGAGTCAGATATTGCTCTTACCTTTAAAGATAAATGTATCAAGTTATATAATCTGTTTCTTTTGCAGATGAGGTCCTGCAGCTGGAGGAGAAGCTGCGGGAGCTGAAGCTGGCCAACCAGCGCCTGGCCAGGAACAGCCGTGGCAACTTTGCCGTGGAGCAGACGCCCGCCAACGCCCAACCCGCCTTCGTGGTGGACGAGCGGGAGCTGGGCCACCTCAGCTCCGGATCGGGATCGGCCTCGAATGGCCTGCCGATGGTTCTCTGGACGCTTTTCGGCTTCCTGAGTTGGCGGCTGATGTAGAAGTTGTAAATCTCTCAAGGCGTGAACGATGTGCGAGTGCGAGGAATGCTAATCAGGGCGGAATTGCGTGCAGTGGCAATGAACGAAGGAGGGAATATTAATGTACTACCTAACTACTAATATATACCTATACTTGATGTAACTGCCATTTACAAAACGTAATTAACTTTAAATGTATGCATAGCGTAGGTTTTCAACGACTTATGGCAGGCGACATTGCGACAGAAACAGACAGACAACAGTGATTCTTATTAAAATACATGAAAACACTTACAGATAAATATATAAATATGCATATATGTTGGAGAACTTGAAGAACTCGGTCTAACTCATAAGCACCTACTAGTCTCCTAAGTGTAACTGTTAAGCTAATTTAATTAACGACTAAACTAAACGAAATAATTAATTAAACGAAACTCTGATCGAATGAACTTTGCCGAATCTGTTAAATTTATAGCAACGAATAAAATGTGATCATGGAGATCATGATTTGGTGGAGCTATTTGATTGTATTGTCCCAGTTTTGCTCTTCGGAGGCAGCTTCGCTGCTTAGCTCAACAGGTTTGCCGAGGAATTATAAACTATTAAATACGGATAATCAAAAAATACCGATAACAAATGCGGAAGACAACCAATCTTCATCAGAATTAATTTTAACATCGAATAGCCATTTAAAGCTAATTGGTAAAAGTTCCTACACCGATTGGGGTAAGTAAATTCTTAAATTTTTTTTATTTGGCATAAAATAGTAATTATCCGATAAAGGGTACCCGAACAAACAATTGCGTAAGGTGTGCCGAATACCTGGTTATTACCTTAAAGACCCTTGGGTGCCCATTAAGAAAAGGGTGAAGTTAATCGAGAAACCACGTCGGTTTTTAAAGGGTCTCCGATCGGCCATGTATAAAAAAGCGGATGTGGAAAAATGCCATAAGCCACAAATGACAGATGTATTGGAATTTTTGGAGTGTCAAGTACGCAGGCATATGCGCCTAGAATTGGCCATTCCAAAATATCCAAAATTCTCCGGATAGATTTGAACTTTCTTAACATAATATGGACAATGATATGTTTTTAACCACAATATATTAACGCTTTGTTAAATTTGATTGATATCGATTATGCGGTTAAACTTAAATAAACAATTTATCTTCAAATTAAAAAAATTTAAAAATACCGCCCAATAACGAATTTTATTATTTGAACCCCTCTAATAACGCAAGAAGAAGAGACTTTATCGCGGTGTTTTTGGTGACGCGTTAGTACATTTCTAGCCACACCACAAGTATCGCATAAAAATCGCTTCTACTCCCATCTCTAAAACGCTGGCGTTTCTCTCACCAAATGGTTTACTTTTTGGGCAATGCAAACAAATTACAGACAAACACGTAACCAGTGGCTGTCAATCGAGGCGAGAACCGGCAGCTAGGCAAACAAACACGGGAAACCAACCGGCAAACTAATCCATTTGGACCCCCAAAAGATACACCGAGCAGTGCGACACATTCGCGATTCGATTTACCACCAGATTCGATCCGTTCGCAATCCAAATCCAAATCCGAATTTGAATACGAGAATCTGCCAGGTTGGCGGTCGCTGGAGTGTGACGTGCGACCCGCGACTGTATCAACAAATACTCATATAGTAGATGACGACGATTCCAGCTGGGCCCGTGCCCGATGCTGGACACGCTTGTTGGACACGGCTGCTCGACACGGGTGCTCTGTAGTGGAGCCAGCCGAGGGCTTCCAATAATCCCACCGATCGATCCGATCAGCCAGCTTCACGCCAATGCCGCCGCTGTTGCGGTAGAGTCGCTCAGCACCAGACGCCCACCACCGCCAACACAATCGCCCACCCACCAATTCCTCCCCTAGAAGATGCGTTCCCGCAAAGTGCTGCTGGTAATTGGCTTTCTGGTTACGTGGACCTATGCCACATACTATCTGCTCCTGCGCCACACGGGCGTCCACACGAGCCGCAATCTGGTGCATCAGTCCTACCGCCTCAATTCGCAGGCTCGCGAGGCCAGCCAGCAGAGCCACCATCTGGCCAAGAACGTTTTCGAGTTCGTCAAGATCAAGTACTTGGAGAACCAGACACCGTCGCCAGCCACCACGCCCCAGATTAGCATCGTCGCTGCAGAAATATCAGCGGAGCTGCCCGAGCAGCACGTTGTCAAGCCGACCAAGGCGCGCATTCCAACGAAAACATATCTGGCCAACGGCGAGCCCGTCTTCCCAGTCCTGGTCTTTGCCTGCAATCGGGTGTCGGTGAAGAAGTGCATAGACAATCTGATCCAGTACAGGCCCAGCGTTGAACAGTTTCCCATTATAGTGTCGCAGGTTGGAATCTATTTATATAACGTAACCTTAAACCGTCTAATTAATTTCTTCTTTCTCTTCAGGACTGCGGCGATGAGCCCACCAAGGAAGTAATCCTCTCGTACGGCAAACAGGTTACACTCATCGAGCAGCCCGATTTGAGCGACATCACTGTGCTGCCCAAGGAAAAGAAGTTCAAGGGATACTACAAGATAGCCAGGCATTACGGCTGGGCATTGAACACCACTTTCGGCGTGGGCTTCGAGTTTGTGATCATCGTCGAGGATGATCTTAATGTGGCGCCCGACTTCTTTGAGTATTTCCTGGGCACACACAAGCTGCTCCGGCAGGATCCTAGTTTGTGGTGCGTGTCAGCCTGGAACGACAACGGCAAGGCTGCCGTGGTAGATGCTTCGCAGCCGGAGCTACTGTACCGCACCGACTTCTTTCCCGGTCTCGGGTGGATGCTCACCAAAGAGCTGTGGGCCGAACTGTCGGTCAAATGGCCTAAATCGTGAGTGGGGCAATTATGTCGTTTGCCAGACGATCGCTAATTGTCCGTTAACTGTTCTAGCTTCTGGGATGATTGGATACGTCATCCAGCTCAGCGCAAAGATCGCGTGTGCATTAGACCCGAAATATCGCGCACTCGCACGTTTGGAAAAATAGGCGTATCCAAGTAAGAGATAACAAGTACAATTTGAAACAGAATGCCCCCTAATAACTAATCGTTTAATGTTTTTTTTACCAGCGGCTTGTTTTTCGATAAGTATCTTAAGCACATTAAACTCAGCGAGGATTTTGTGCAGTTTACAAAAATCAATATGAGCTATTTGTTGAAGGTTAGTTAGCATCGCACTATTTCATGACCACTGTAATTACTTTTCTCTGTTTAGGACAATTACGATAACACGTTTCTGCGGCGCGTTTACACGTACCCCATTGTTACATACGATGAACTGCGGAGAAACCTTATAAGGTGAGTTTAAAAACCTCGTCGTGTTGATGACTAGTAAATTAAACATTATTTGAAAAAGAAATCACAGTATTGGAATTTGAATGATTTCATATGTTTAAATTTAATTAACCAATTAATTTATGTACAGAATCGAAGGACCAGTTCGCATTCAATATACGACAAGGGAGCAATACAAGCGGACAACCAAGATGCTTGGGCTAATGGATGATTTTAAGGTAAATCGATGACTGTATTTAATTGTTAATTTTTTCAATAAAACACATTTTTAAATTCTTGCAGAGCGGTGTTCCTCGGACTGCCTATCATGGCATCGTCTCCTTCTATTATAACAAACGGCGCGTGCACCTGGCACCAAATGCCAATTGGAAGGGTTACGAGCTCTCGTGGAGCTAACGACGCTAAGGCCGGAACAGCGCCAACTCCACCTCCACTAACGCAGAGCTAGCTCCGTGTGCTTGTAATACCAAAAAATAGCCCTATGAATTTTTATTATTGTTTGACCAATTAGCTAAGTTGCAACTATGGAATCTCCTTAAACCGACAGCAGTCGCGCTCAATTTTTGCGGAGACAAGGGGCTCGAGATATAAGTGACTTTGCCTTAAACAATAACCAAGTAACATTTGTTGGAAAGTCATTTATTATCTCGTGCCCCTGATCTACGTGCCTGCTGTTGGCGTAACAAAATCAAATCAAAAGAGTCTCCACTATGTATAGTAGTTAACCGAACTGTGTGGCGAGAGCCAAAAGTGTTCCATTTCAGCACGCCACACAAGCAACGCAATGAATTTGTAAATAAGTCAGTGTCGTTCGCTTTTGTTATAGCTATCTATCTATTTCTCTCTCAACCTATCATGTTAAATTGCAAATAGTTATAGCAATGGTTAAGTTATAGTATTCAGCATGTAACTTTTAGCATTTAAGTTGATCCAACTCGAGTTCTAACGGCAACGGACGTGTAATATTTGTGATTTGTGATTTTTGATTATTTAATTTACATTTATTAATTGTTGAGAGCCAGTCAGTAAACAATACCCGACCCACGATGTAACATAGAATAGCAATAACTAGCGCTAGAAATAGAACTAGGACGAGAACTAGACCAGTGCTAAGCCACAAGGGGTGAGCCAATAATCCCGGGCGAGGTCTGAAAGTGTGCCACTCTCAGCTAGTTTGTAATGGAATCTAAACAGACGAGACTCGTTCTCTACCCCCTATGACAACCCTTTGTACGAGCATATTTTTTTGTGTGTGAGAGACGTACGGAACATAAATTATAAAGATAAAGCACTGCAGTTTTCACTCCACAGCAGGTGGCTCATCGTCATCATCTAGCTGCTCGCAGTCGATGTCGCTGCACTCGGACTCCGATTGCGTGGGTCTCCGGCTCCTTTGCGCTTGGTTTAATCCATCGTGGCCGTAGGATGTGGCTGCTCCAGTGACTGGAGTGCTTCGCTGCTGCAGGAAGTTGGCATTGGCATCGCCGAAGACTCGTTCCAGCTCGGCCAAGCCATTTGAGGTGCCCGGTTCCGTTTCCGGCGGCAATGTGGCGTACTTCATCTGCAGATAGGCTTCGTTTGGTGGCAGTGTTGCCGCATAATCCACAAAGCTGCTTGAATAGGACTTGCAGCGGGGTATGTAGCTGGCGGATGGAACTCCTCCCGCCGGCGGTTTGGCCACGCCAAAGGGCAGGGCAAAGTTCAAGGGCTGTCCGCGTGCCAGGATTGCATTGCGGGCACTCTCCATCACACTGGGTCCCGGCAAAGGGGGCATTCCACTGCTCGAGGGATACGGACGCATGGATGAACCAGCGGCAGTCGCAGCTCCCATGGGTGCCGCAGATCCACTGCCATTCAGCATGATGGACTGGATGGGCGTGGGACCAGTGGGCGTCTGGCTGAAGAGCCACAGCCGATCGCCAACCACCATGGGTCTGGCCAATCCTCCGATTCCCAGCTGAGCGTAGTAGTGCGAGGCGAGTGTTTCCACGTCCGAGGTGTACTTGCGCTTCCACTTGGTGCGGCGGTTTTGGAACCAGATCTTGATCTATAGTGGATGTACAAAATAAAATATAAATAAATTAATTACGTTTGGTATAAGTTACTAAAATATTAACAAATATTTGAGTCTTTATTAAACATTGACCAGAGAGACTATTTCTTAGCTTTACAAAGGTATTACATATGTATATCAAATCAAGGGCAAAAGTAGTTTGAGACTTCTAGTCTTTATTTAATCAGACTTTCTTTAAAATACTTTTACTGTTTAATAGGCTGAATTTATATATATTTTTAAGGACTCCATCCTTACCTGCGTTTCAGTAAGCTGAAGTTGCTTGGCCAGCGCAGTTCTTTTGGCCACTGAAAGGTACTTTCCCCGTTCAAACTCTGTTTCCAATGCCTTTATTTGAGCTGCGGAAAAGGCGGTTCTCGGACGCTTTTTGCGGTCATCGCCAAGGGCTGCAACGGAATAGAATTGAAACCATTTAGAGTGGGAATCTTAATTAGACATTTATTGCTACCGACAGCGGCCATTCTCGCAAGCGGTGCCAACTATTTTCGCCTAATTGTAATTTGTCGATCCGTTGGCAAGGTTGCATTAAAACCCCATCCCCAACATCCCTTGAATCGGCGTGCGAAAATCAAAAAGTTACATTTCACTTAGCCACAGCGTCTAATTGGCCATTTGGCCGAACATTCTCTTGCCTGACCGAAAACAAATTGTCATATAAATTCCTCCTTTACGGGTGGAAGCTTTCCTTTGAAATCGCATTCGGTCTTTGTTCGCTTTTGACATTTGCATCATTAGTCGACTGCGTTGGCGGCGGTGGGGTGCGAAAAATGACGGTGGACGGCTTATTCTCTGTCACCCCAAAAGCTAATTTCTGATCATTTGTTTCTTGATCGCACAGATGACAGATGAGATCATTCAGCCGTAAGCACTGGGTCTTTCAGGTGGGAAATGCTACGCGTATACATCATTATTTATGGCAATGCTAAGCTTCCTATGAGCCAGTCTATTAGAAATTAAATTCACCTTCAGAGAATTTTATCTAGGCATTATAATCCTATAATTTATTTTTGGCATTTCCCCGTTATTTCAATAAATGAAGGTATTAAGATTTTTATAACAGGGATGAAAAAAAATATTCATAATTTCTGTGACCCTTTCAAATTTTTTGAAAAGTCGTTAAACAATAACATAAAAATTAAATATAAATTATAAACTTTCCTTTCTGAAATACACTTGGAGAAGAATTTTAACGCCTTATTAAATGTAATGATTTTGTCAGGACGGTTAAGAGAGTTATCAATTTTTAAGTTTTAATTTACTATCCAGAGAATTATTACTTTTTATTTCAATATAAAGTAGAAATCGTCAGACGCTTTCCTGTTTTATATGCTTATAAATTAATCATACGCACCGTTTCCGTCATCTGACGCCAAATCAATATCACTTTTGCCGTCGTCCAAATTATCCTCCAAGCAACTTGATGTTGCTGGACTAGAAACACGCGAAACTCCACATAATCCACCGCGACCACTTTCATCCTGCGACGTTTCTTGAAAGGAATTCGAGCTGCGCATTTCCGGCTTGGCCAGAATCTGCTCGATGGAAAAACTGTGTGGGTAACGACGCACTGCCGATTGGGAATTCATATTTGCACCACTTAAAAAGGGATTTTCTAATCGATATATATCTTCCAGATATTCTTCAAGGAACCGTATCGGAATCGGAAACCGCAGAGAACAGTGCGCATCGAGATCTTACGGAAAACTAATTTGAATATTCCGAGCATCCTGCTTACTGGCCGATTTTTCAAGATGATCGCCTGCTTGGGCGGAGCCAAGCCATGTATCTCTTTTCCACTCATTTTATATGACCGAGCTGAAGGAGAGAAAGGAACGGGAACATATTCCGATTTTCCCTGAAGACGACACACAAATTCGTTTATTTTTAAAACATGTGTGAAATTGTGGTGATGAGGGCGTGTCTTTGGTTCTTCTCCCCCTTCGGTATTCTCGGTTTCGTTTTTGTCGCCTTGCCTGTGATTTAAAGTCATAATTTTTGGCTAATTGTCTACAAGTAGCGCTATTTAATATTTCGATGGCTTGCTAAATATATTTAATACGTTTGCCAACATATTTCATTCGTTTGATTAATGAGAAGTCGACCGTGCATTCTGTGCACTTGTGTGCGGGCACGTGTCCTCATTTTGGATAATTTATCTTTATACAAATAGTAATGTATTTATGGTGTATTCAAAATTGTATTTTAAATTCAAAAAGTATTTTATAATTATTTCAAAACTGCTGCTGTTTAACTTCTTCTTTATTTAATAAAACGCAAAGTTAATAACTATTAAATATAGAATATAATAGATTATTTCTATTATTATTATTTCATAATCGAATGATGATTTATTTATAGTATTTGGCGAGGCAGAAATCCCTGTGAAATCTTCATTAATTCCGAATTATGAACACATAACTCAGTCACCTTTTACTGGGAAAGGGAAGTCGAGATCCGAATGGAGGGGAGGACCTGAGAAATTAGCCGGCGGCGCAGGCGACACTAGTTTCCAATTGGCCAGCAGCCAACTCCACGTCGTTTCGCCACTCTACAGGGTGCCGTGCCTGGATGCCGTGTGATAACGTCTTAATTATTCATGCGAGGTTTGAACAAAATATGTGAAAACACGTTAATTAGTCGCCAAGAGCCGCGAGAGCGAAAAAGGGCGGCGAGGACGAATCGCATCGCATCCATTTAGCCGGCCGAGCTGTCAGTTTGATTTAATTTAATGAGAATACTGGCGGGACGATCTGCGGGGATCTGCTTATGAGGCCGCATGCCCGAGTGTCGCGGGCACTCAAATCAAAATGACAACTTAATTTTCATAATTGCGCTTAATGAATATTCGACTATTGCTTGCCATATTTCAAATTCCACTGCCAGACGGAAGGCAGACTTTGTTTCGTCTTTGGCATTTCGAATCATTTACGAAATCTGTGGGTTCCTTCGCCGGATACCTAATATTAGTAGGGCTTCTTATCTCAATCGAATCTTGAAAACTTTTATATAGGTTTTATACAAATTTAGCATGGTGATATGGACTTACTGGAAAAGTCTGGGCGAAACTTCAAATAATAATGTTATACATACAGTAATATGTTTATTACATTTTTTGTTTTAGTTCAGTTGTTGTTTTAGTTTGTTTGGTAATTGGTAAATCATAAAGAAATTAATTAGCAGGGAACACATATATTTTATTCAAAAGTTAGGTGCAGCATTTGGTGTCATGTCTTGTCATTGTCATATCTTGAAGTTGTCTTTAGAAAACTTGTTTCGACTTTGGTATTCTGAATCAATTACGGATCCGTTGGCCCTTTGGACGGTTATTGCATAAGACCAAAAACCACAACCCTCGACCTAACCAGGATCTGCTCGTTCGGTGATCGCATTTAACGTTAAATCGAGCGCAGCCGCGTCAGAGTTTAATTAATAACCAAGCATGCATCTTCATTATAAATCATCACTTCTCAAGTGTTTGTCAGGCGCACGCAGCATAAATCACGGAGGGAGTTGCACTGGCAGTCGCGTGGAACAGTCCGTCCTCCGGCCGAGATCTCAATGTTTTTTGTCCCCTCTTTTTTGTCATCGCATCCAGCTAATGATGCATCAAGTCCTGCGGGGTGTTAGCTACATCTAACTTGGGCCTCTTTAGCACATCGATCATTGGACTGTTTCAGGCAAACATCTGTATCTCCGACACTCCCACGTTATTTTCTCGGATATTCCTAAGGTTTCCGATTACGTCAAAGGTGAAGTTGGACCGCATTACCCAGGGAATCCATGGAGATCGTGCATTGAACTCTTTGGGAAATTGTATCCTGATTAATTCGTTGGGTTTCTATTTGTTTGCCTTAGGGCTAATTAGTGTGAAAACCTAATAGAGCTAACCCAGAAACAGAAAGAAGGCAGAAGATGAAGTGTAGTGCTTTTAGATAGATTAAGATGTACCTATTCTGAAGATCTCTTCAATAAATTAAATTATTATTATTATGTATTATAATTTTAAGAATAAAATACGTTGATGCGGAAACTAAATGTAATCAAGTGCAGATGAATTATCCTTCCAAAAGTCTGCAATAAATATCAGTCATGACTCTTACGCCTCTCCACCGAAAGTATGTTGTTAATTTCATTCATGAAAATTTCCTCACCCAAAGGCAATCCAAAGCAGACCAGCCTACGCCTTATAAACTGACAGATATAAATAATAATTAAGAAAAAATGGGAGAGAATGAACTGCATATTATTAATTTAATGTGCGCTCGTTTCGAATTCGGAGTTTGGGATGTGAGTTCCCGGTTCTCGGCGATCTTTTCTGAGAAACATGCTTGGGGAGGAGTTCGAGGAGTAAAAGGCGTCATTCCGTCATTCCGCGCTGTGTTTATGTTGCAGGCGAGCAGACAAGACTCATAAATTACAACCAATTATCAAATTAGATTTTTACAAAACATGCAGTTTAAATCATATAGGAGTCTTCCGCTTTTTATGGCACAATCAGCCGCAAAGCCCTGGATTCATGGGGCTCTTCTCGTATTTCCGTATTTCTTTAGTGTCTTTTTTACGGGCTGAATGGGAGTTTAATTTTACTTTTTTGGATCAAACGCAGAATCAATTCGGATTCATGGGCTGCTGATGGCGGCAATTAAAGAAAAGCGTTGCAATCGGAAAAATTAGCAGACAATGTGAGCCCTGACAACTACGGGCAATTAATTTGGTGTAATTACTCAGGGCTGAGTGACAGATCTGGAAACTGAATGTGTGCGTATCTCGTGTGTGGAGTGCTCTGTGTTGCCACCTCAACGCATCGATGGCAAAATGGGCTGGGTTGGGAAATGGCTGGAGTTCTCCTCGATCTCCAACAATTGCGGCGGCATTTTAATGAGGCAAATGGGATGGCATCTCCCCTTTGAGTGGCGGAAAATTGCCCTCAACCCAACAAAGGGGTGCAGCTCCTCTAGTGATTCTACTAATTGACATCGGCAGTCTCGTCGTCGTCTGTGATATCAAACAGTTTTACGCACAAATTGAAACTGATATTCGCGCCGGGCAGATTTATGGGGCTAAGCGATGAGCATATGTTTTAATTAATTTCTCAGAAATTATTTTAAAGTAGTTCCTTGCCAAAAATTTCCAATGCCCTCTGATCAATTTCCTAAGTATGGTAATTCCGCTGTTTGACATGTTTTTACGTGGTAATTATGACAAATGTCTAACCCGAACCTGAGCCCTCCTAATACTCATAATACCACAAACATTCGGAGGATTTGGATTCCCCTCTTCGTTTTCTGGCCACATATGCATGACATTTTTTGCTGTTGTCTTGTTTTGGGGCTCGCGACATTTTCTCGAGACGCCATCCGAGGGAGATTAATGCGGTGAGGAAAATCATAAATTAATTAGAAGCGGTCTAGTCCAGCCTGGAGTGGAATCGCTCTTTCCGAGATGCAGATGCTTATTGGTGACATTTAGCGGCAATTTATTGTCATTAGGGGAAGATTGAGAGTCGAAAGCAACTACAGGTGTTGGCAAAGAATCGCTTAATTAGCTTTTATTATTAGCTACGATGTGGTAACTAAGTGGGTAAGGGTGGGGGACACCACCGATCGGAACATCAAGAAGCCATTCCCCAACTCCGCTGCCTGACTTCCTGTTTAAAAGTTGGCGCCTAATACCGACGTTTAGGGACAATTAGCAACACGCCTTTGGCGCCAGCCAGCAAGAAATTTAGATAGTTTTTGGGGGCATGTATGTGGGTGTCTGGGATCGGGATGTGAGTCGGGATGAATGCTAGGGGCAGGTTCAGTAAATTCCACTCTGTCGTCAGAGTGTCGCGACTTGAACATCCTGCCGGTGAGGGAATTTGGAGAGAAATGGAATCAATTATCCTGTAAGTTGTAAAGAAATTTCTCTGAGAAAATCATTCTATGAATACTTAATCATTGTCATAAGTCTTTTCGGTTTCAAATTAGAATTAGAAAAATTTAATGTTTCTCATGTTGATTTTGCCTTAATTATCCTTTTTTTTGTCTTTATCTAATTTGGTTTGTATTTTCTTAATTTAATATGTTAAAAAGGCAACCTCAAATTGAATATTTACAGATTCTTTGGTGCGCCATCTAGCTCTTAGTTACTGAACTTCTTTGATCTCAGTAAAATCACTCGACAGGTTGTATGTCTTGGCTAACAATTTACCAAAGCTTTCCACCGACAGTTTAGCATTTGGTCACACTGTTTCTGGGGCGTTATCTGTAAACACCGAAAGTATCGTAAAAAGATAGACTTTATTCCATCTCTATTATCTCAGCTGTTCTCTGCCTTGACTTTGTTTACATTTTACCAGTTTATTAACATTTAAACAACGTAAAACCATAAAAATGGCCTCAGCTTCCAGTTCAAGTGCTCGGCATTTATTTGACGAATCAAAGAAGCGTTTGTGTGCACGCGTGGGTGTTAATGTAAATAATTTGGGTGAGTTGTTAAAACTGGGCAGTTGAATCGATTTTTTAAATGTATTTTTTTGAATTTTTAGGATCTGTGGCCCGACAAGTTGTCAGGGGTTCAAAAAGCAACGAGGTGAGCTTAAGTATATGCTATCCCTGTCTGCGATAACTATGATTTAATCTGATCCACAGATAATGCATCAAACCCTGAAGAACTTCACCCAAGTGGACGTAGTTTCGGATTACAGCCACCAGAATCTGCAAAAGATGACGCTCATATTGCAGCACGTTGGCTACCAATACGACGTGATGCAGGATAGCGTCAACCACTTGGATTACCTCAAGGAGCAGGTCACGGCCATGGAAAGATGATTGGAAGAGCAAAAGCCTAGACACTAGCAACACCCCCCGTCCTTCGCCGCAATTTTAGTTTCTCCAAAGCCATCTATAAATATCCATAAACCCCCCAAAAGATAGCCGCAGAAGGTCAAGGGCCACCAGAAGAGTTGGTTCTGGTGATAAGATAAGCTGCGGTATGGAGTTCCCTTATAAAAGAGCTTTACACCAGTGGAATCCATCACAGTTTGCAATCAAAGACATAATGAAGAGTTTGGAGTTCAGACTTATTGTTGCCTTATGGCTAAGCTATACAGTTGCTGCACAGAACTCCACGGATGGCGATCGGGAAGGACGAATTGTCGGCGGCTGGGAGACGCGAATCACCTTCTTTCCGTACCAAGTATCCCTGCAGATAGGCACTCGACACGGCTGCGGTGGCTCCATCATTGCGCCTACCATCATTCTAACCGCTGCCCACTGTGTGCTGGAGCACACCAAACCGCAGTATTATGCGATACGAGCCGGATCTAGTGAATGGGCCCAAGGCGGCAGCTATATCCGCGTCAAACGCATAGTACCCCATCCGAAATTCCACGAACCCACGAGGATGAACAACGACATTGCCATTGTTCAGCTGCAGCAACCACTCGTCTATAGTGAGGAAATTCAACCTATTAACTTGGTCTCCACTCAGAACAGAATTCAGCCGACGGCCCAGCTTTTTGTCAGCGGCTGGGGCAGTCTGTCGATCTCACAAATGCAGTCGGAGAAGCGTCTTCGTTACACAGTTGTCCAACAACTGGATCAGAATCAGTGTGTGAGAAACTACTTTGGAGCGGGCACTGTGACCAACACCATGTTCTGTGCCGGAACTCAGAACGGCGGAAGAGACAGCTGCCAGGGAGATTCTGGCGGACCACTGGTTACCCCTGTCGATGGCAGGATGAAGTTGTACGGAGTTGTGTCCTGGGGCTTCGGCTGCGCAAATGCATTTTATCCTGGCGTTTACACAAAAGTTTCCGCATATGGAGACTGGATAGCGCAAACAATCGAGGAGCTGGTCTAGTCTAATTTTGTTTTACAAACTAATGCTTAATAATAGCAATAATAGTCAAATTAAACGCTATGCTTAAGCTATCACATAGTCCATGTATAAATAGTAATTATAACGTGTAAGATTTTCTCCTCTGTAAATGAACTTTCTCGATCGCTAACAACTTGCTAATTCTGAAGTTCAGATGATCGACCAAAAACATAAAATATTACTTATCGAACAACAATTTGTTAATTCAACTTAATGCCAAATTACCTTGTTTATGAATGCAAAATGTAAAAACAAGTTTTGGGATCGTGGCTGGCTTAGCCGATCGTAGTCGCATATAAAGTGCGCATCTCGTCACTCCAAAGACCAGTTTTTGGCTCTCACGAACTGCGAATAACGAAGTATTGGCCAAGTCGCCGTCAGTTACCAATCGTAGTTTGAGTCGAGCGGCAATATTACCCAGCCATGAAGCAGTTTATAGTTTTGGTAAGTGAGCAACGGGCTCAGCATTCATTCGGATATTACTCAACGATAACTCTTCCTGTTTGCATGTCAAGGTCGTGTGCTTGATTGGCGCCACCAGCGCGGATGTATCCCATCTGGTTACCCCGGAGCCCAAGGTCCCGGCCAGTCCGTATGTGTTCAGCTACCAAGCTGGCCGAGCTCCCGGACATGTGGATCGCCAGCACACTGAGGTGTCCGATGGATCGGGTGTCATCCGCGGTGCCTTCTCCTATGTGGATCCCAAGAACCAGGTGCGCACTGTGCAGTACGTGGCCGACGAGCACGGCTTCCATCCTCAGCTGAGCCACAAACTGGAGGACAGTGCTGCCGTTCAGGCAGCCAAGAAGAGGCACTTCGAAGCGTACAACCGAATTGCGCAAGAGCACGCCAGTCACACACCAGGCCAAGCGGTGAGTATTCCGTGGGCAGGTGCGGCTCCAAGTAGTTACTTGCAATGATGCATTGTTTTCCCCACCTTTCAGTCACTGGCAGCCGCTCCGCATACCAGCGCCGCTGTGGCTCATGCCACTCAGAAGCACCTGAGCGCCTTCGAGCGGATCGCCGCCGAACATGCGGCCATTGGACGCCAGCAGGAGGCACAGCGTCTGGCACTGGCCGCCCAATCCGAGCATGGAGAAATCGAGGATGGCCAGTACCACCCGTAAAAAGTGTTTGTGTAACTATCAAACTGTATTGAATGAAAATAAAAAGGAAATTTCCAGGTGCGACCGTTTTTGTGAATTGTTTTCGTGATTAGTCAAATTAATTAACTATTTGATAGTGCTACAATAGAAAACTATAGACGAAACAATAGAGTATTTTTCAATTGTCTTCATAAATTAAATGTTATAAACAGATCAGACAAAATAATAAAAAAAATTACATTTAAAACTGATAATAGAATTATTGTTATATTTTTTATTGAATATTTTTTGTGGCGTATTTAATAATCACCATGAAGGTAAAATGTAAGTTTGACTTTAGTATATCGCTTCGCACGTCACCGTCCATATGTCGGCAAAACTTTTTCCACGAATTCTCTGGCTCCTCTTTTTGCTGGGGTTAAACTTCGTAAGTGTTTAAAGTGATTAATATTTTGAAAACCCCAAAACTAAGCCTTAGGTATAATAGGCGTTTTCTGATTATATGGAGTGCCTGAACTACGGTACTCTAGAAGAAGAAAAAGCGAATGAAGTGTTCAAGGACTGGCCTGTTAATCTGGACTTGGCAACAGTTCATAGGACCCACAAATGTTATGTTGCATGCATTTTTTATTATTATGGCATAGTAGGTTCAGATGGTGAGCTTCGTCTGGACAAATACTTCGATAATGGAAGCATAAATGAGCTTGCGGTTGCTCCTAATCTTCGTCGCTGTGGCCATGAGTTCAGAAATGAGAAAGATTTTTGTGAGCATGTTTTCGGAATGTTTGACTGTTTTAGACAGGGGATGGTTTTTGGTTAAAAATATAACATAGCACTCTTTTATTAAAATGATTTAGTCATATTAGTCTTGGAACGTTTATATATGTATTATCAAGTTGTAGTTTCATTTATAAAATGCTTGGGCTTAGTCTGAATTGAACATAGTCAAGTTCAGATAAAATCCATTAAATTTAATTCTGAAATTCTAAAGGTAAAAAAAACTAATTATTTGATAGTGCTATTAATAGCAAATGGTAGACAAAAAGTTGGAAATCAGATAGTTTGGGTATTTTTAATTGAGCTCTTTTATGTTCCATTTTTTAAGTGGGCTCTTTATAAATCACCATGAAGGTAAAATGTGGATTTACTTTCAGTATATCGTTTTGCACGACACCGTCAACTGATTAGTGTTTTACAAAAAATGTTAATAAACCTGTTAGCCCAAATCACTTGGCTCCTTATCTTGCTTGGATGTCGTTTTGTAAGTCTTGTACAATTATTCTGGAAGTCCACAAACTAATCCCAAGTTTTGATAGGCTTATTCTGATCCATCAGAGGCGTGCAGGAATCACAATGGGATAAAAATAGAAGATGCAAACACAGTGTTAAATGACTGGCCTGCCAATCTTAATTTGGCCAAAGTTAATAGGACCCACAAATGTTATGTAGCATGCATTTTCTACTATTTTAATATAATAAGTTATTCTGGAGAGCTTACTTTGGACAAATACTTCGATAATGGAAATATTAATGAGCTTCAAGTAGCTCCTACTATTCGTCGCTGCGAATATCAGTTTGAAGACGAAAAAGATTTTTGTGAGCATACTTTCGGTATGTTCGACTGTTTCAGACAGGAGATGTTACTTGATGAAGATTCTAATGAAGATATGTAGTTAATTCAACTTTGAATAATAAAGACTAAGGTCTTGGAACATTAAAAAATTATCAAGATGTAGTTTCATTTAAAAATGCACGGGTTAGGACTTAATTGTTGTTAAAAAAGACATACGCATAGTCAAGTTAAGATAAAGTCCATTATATTAATGCCTTAAAAAAATGTAAACAGAATTAGCTAATAAGCTTATTATTATAGTGCCATCAATAGAAAATGGTAGAAAAAAGTTTGAAATCAGATAGTTTTGATGTTTCTAATTGAGCTCTTCAATTATTAAATTTTGTAGTGCCCTTTTTATTAATCACCATGAAGGTGAAATGTGGATTTGCTTTTAGTATATAGTTTTGCATCGCGCCGTCAACTTGTTATTAAAAAAAAATGTCAATAAACCTCCTAACCCCAATCACTTGGCTTCTTATATTGCATGGATGTCATTTTGTGAGTAATTAAGGTTACAAATATTCTGCAAGTCGAAAAACTAAGCTCAAGTTTCAATAGGCTTATTCTGATTCAATAGAGGCGTGCAGGAATTTCATTGGGATAAAAGTAGAAGATGCAAACATAGTGTTAAACCACTGGCCCGCCAATCTTAATTTGGCCAAAGTTAATAGGACCCACAAATGTTATGTAGCATGCATTTTCTTCTCTTTTAGTTTATTAAGTAGTTCTGGAAAGCTTACTTTGGACAAATACTTCGATAATGGAAATATTAATGAGCTTCAAGTCGCTCCTACTATTCGTCGCTGCGAATATCAGTTTGAAGATGAAAAAGATTTTTGTGAGCATACTTTCGGTATGTTCGACTGTTTCAGGCAGGAGATGTTACTTGATGAAGAATGATTGTCTAATATAATCAATTTTTTAGTTAGATCAAGTTTGAATAATAAAGTCAAAGGTGTTGGAACATTAATAAATCATCAAGATGTGGTTTTATTTATAAAATGTCCGAGTTGTGTAAATTTAGTTAAAATTTTTGTTTAAGACACCATTAATTTTAATTCCGTAAAACTTAAAATTTAAAAAGCAAACGCGTTTGGAGGTACCTTTATTTATTTATCACATCTCCAATCGACAGAACAATTAAAAATGTACTTCTTTTTTGTATTATACACCACACGATGTAGGGCTATTAAAAATGTGAATACCCATTGTGAGTACATTAATTTGCTGTACAATATTTTGTTATAAGCACGTGAATTGAAGGTTTCTCGTTGAATATTAAAATAATGTTTGACCGACAAGCACTGTTCGTATTTATAACTTTTTGGTGCGGAACAGTTCACGTAAGTTGAAGTTCAATAATACCATGGTGGAAAATTGATTATGTTTGTATCGCTCTGTATAGGCTAACTCTGCTCTATTTAATCCGTGTATATCCCGGCAAGAATTATCCCTAGATGAAGCCGCTCAGGTACTGGATCACTGGCCTTCTAAAGAAAATTTATCCAGCATTGATCGGAACTACAAGTGCTTTCTCACATGTGTGTTATTAGACCTGGAGCTAATTAGTGCAAATGGGGAGGTGCAGATCGATAAGTATACAAAGCTCGGAGTTATAGACTGGAGATGGGTGGCCACCGAGTTGGTTTCGTGTCGAGCTAAGTATGTGGACGAAAAGGATCTGTGTGAGCTGGCTTTTGGCCTTTTTAACTGTTTTAGGGAATTGAAACTATCAGCTGAGAAAAAACCTTTAAAGTGATTACAAAACTGTTTAAGCTAACTAAAATGTTCCTTGTTAAAAATTATTACTCAACAATGCTTAATAACCGCTTTGTTTGCAACCAAGAAATAATTGCTTAAATTATAGATTACTTATTTTGCAGGAGGCTGCCATCAAAAATAAAATTTTTAAAACTCTTTTTTTCCCCATTCGAATTCCAAAGTTCCGATTATAGTGAGCTTTCTGACCCGCTTGGGTTTGCTTTGATAAGCAATAAAAACCGGTTCGCTCAACCGATTTCAGTTCTGTTTGAAAGTCCGAATCTGCAACACGTTCCGTTCTGATCCGTGATGGACCGACTTCCGTTGTGTCTGGTGCTCCTGGTGGTGGGGATTTGTTTCTGCCACGCCTACGAGGCTCCTGAGGCCCAGGTGCGCGTGTTCTACCCCAAGGGTTTCGAGGTTTCCATTCCGGATGCACATGGTATCTCGCTGTTCGCCTTCCATGGCAAACTAAACGAGGAGTTCGACGGACTGGAGGCTGGGCGATGGGCACGAGATATTCCAAGTGCCAAACGGGGTCGTTGGACCTTTCGGGATCGTGAAACAAAGCTAAGTCCCGGTGATACTCTGTACTTCTGGACGTATGTGATTTACAATGGACTGGGTTATCGACAGGATGATGGAGCTCATGTGGTCAGCGGCTACGATAACAAAGAAAATTAATTTTTTCTTTCGAAAAAATAAAAGTTTTTAAACAGAGCTTAAAGCTCTAACAGAATCTTTGTTTAGAGAGCTCGGTCTAATTAATCGAGTGCCTCCCTTGGCTTTGAAAGATTAAATAATCTCTTCTCAGTACACCAAGAAAAAATAGAACTTATACATAGAATTACAAAGATGCTTAAAAATCAAAAAAAAAAAAAAACAAATTTTTCAGACCAGCAACTAACGTACAATCCTTTTCTCTATATCATCACATTTAACGTGCATTTTCTTAACGGTTAAGCATAATGTTTTCGAATCAATTGATATTTAAATCAAAGGAATAATAATACTTTAATGTAAAATCATATTTTATGCACTCTCCGCTCGTCGTCATTATCCTCCACCGCTTTTCATTGTGGCTGTGACGTATTTAATTATTTTCGTTAGTAAAAACACTTTTATCCAATGCAAATTTATGCACTTTTAAACGCTGTAATTAATCATAAATAAAACGCGAGGCATTAATGGCCAAATGGAGCGCAGGGCACTGCAATGCGATGGTCTGAAAATTGCGTAAAATGAAGCTCGCTCTCAAACCAACCGATATAATTTGCTTTATGCACTGGCAGGAATGCACGTACTCGCAAACAGCGGCGTTCGTAAAAACAGAAACACAAAACCGTTCAGCAAACATTTTTTAAGCAAAATAAAAAATGTATAGCTATAATTGTTGGTTGCAATTATAGATTAAATATCACCTGTTAAGCACATGCAAAATTACATTTTTTATAACAAAAATTTATTGTTACTTTAAAAATTTTCATTTTACTCCTACAATGAGTATTTTGGTTGAAGATTTGTATTGAATTTCTTAATTCGGGTAATAAACGTAATGCAAAGTACATATTACAAAGGAAATAGGTTATTATTAAGGTAATAAAACGTATGTATATCTTAACAAAATTGGTAAAATGTATTTTCTATATGACACTCAGCTAATGTTACGAGAACTCATAATCGGCAGCATTACTTACTTATTACTTATTTGGTTAATCTGTATAACAAAAATTAAATGTTGTTCTATTGTTTCAACCGCAACTGTGAGTACATATGTACTTACATAAACGCACCCAAACACATACTTGCACTCACGCACGGTAGACATCGTGGCAAAAAGTTTCCAAGGATTCACAAGGCAAATTGATGAAGTTTTAGTTGCGGCAACTTCGCTACGTGATGTGTGCGTTACCAGACAGAGACGCACTGTCCACGGACCACGCCCCTTTTCGTACTACTCCTTCTTCCTGCATGGTGTGTCGCCCGATGTCCTGGGACCGGAGTCCTTTGTGCCCGTTCGTTAACTTTTTCTCGCTCCCGCTCGCCTCGTTGCGGTGGCTTTTTTGTAAGCAACAACAAAGCAATAGCAAATGCAATTACAACGCAACGAGCACACATTTTTTGCACTCACTGTGCGCCGAGTTGAGAGTTTGGAGCCACGCTAAATTGGTCTGGCAAATGCTTTTTGAACAGCCCCGGCCACGCCCCCTAGCCCCCTTTTTTTTGCTGCTTCGGTACCTTTATAATTTTCTGTTTTCCCGAGCATTGCGTAGCAGCCGTTAAACGCTTCATTGGCGCCCTCCCCTATCGTCCTTAACTTTTCCTTTTTCCTTTTGGACCGCCTGGAATTGCCAAAAAATTCATCGGATTGTCCTCTTACAAGGAGGAAAATCGGATTGATAACTTACAGTGCTTCCAAGCTTTGTTTGAGCTAGCTTATTGCCAATTCAAATGATTCAATGTCATCGGAGTGTGGAGTTTTACTTTGATATAACTAAAACTAAAACATATTATTAAAATACAAGTCCCCCAGTGTATTTTGCTTAAAATATTTATATTATCTATATATATAAAAATGGAGACAAAATATGTGCGCAATCGCATCACATGAAAACGGCTTGACCGATTTGGCTGAAAATTGGTAGGGAGATAGCTTAGAACCAGAAGAAGGTTTAAGCATAAGAAAATTTTGGGAAAACCTTCTGGAAAAGTCGCTAGCGGCTCAACAGATGTACACAATGTTGTATGTAAAAAAAAAGATCATAGCTGCGTTGATTTTGTGTATCGATGAAGTCGGTAAAAAAATATTTAAACAAAAAATAGAGCGAGCTTAAACAATTTGAAATAATGCCTGCTGTTAGACGAATAGGAATTGGACGTGCAACATTGACTATTATGTTGTTAAATTGTGTTGACCAGCGAAGCGGGCACAGGACCTCTAGTAATTTATAAATAATATGGATTTATTGAGCTTATCAATAAGCAAATTTGTAAGTGATGTGTTTGATTCTTGAATCCCAAGGCCAAAAGCTTGTGGGTCTAGACTCTAGCGGCTGGATGGGATCCTCTAGAGTCTAGACTCTAAGCAACGAAGTATTCATAACAGAAAGTAAACCTAGAATGCAGAATACTGCTACAAGGTCTGACGCAGATATATATTAACTGACATATGTATATAATGTACAATGTAATTGCTGCCTTAAATACTTTACGATAAAATGGTAAATAAAAAAATCACCTTTCATTGATACATCAATACTATTTGTTTTGGTCATTCGTTTTCCATCGAAGGAATAGTGAATGTGTCACTCGCTGGGAGGATCCATTATCATGGCAAGGTGCTTTTAAGGAAGCCTGTTACACACGTTTCGACGCTTAATGCCCGACACGTTCCAAGCTTTGGGGCGTGCCGAGCTGTCTGTCCGCTCCGCTGGCTGCCAGTGAACATATACATATGCATGTATTTTTTACAGTGTTTGCTGGGGCATGGCAGTGTCATAAATATTCTTTGCCGCTGCTTTATTTCTTGCCCCGACAACGAGAGCGACAACGATGACGACTACGAGAAAGCAGTTTATCAATAATGCAAAATATTCCAGCAGGGAAAGGGTGTGGGAGACACGTTGGCCACCTCCGGAGCTCCCATTTGGTTACCTTTCACTGGAAGAAAAATCATCTTATGTTTAGAAAAATATGTTTCATAGAGAATAGAAAGTTTAGAAAAATAAACTTTGCCATTCCTCTTGTTGGTGTTGTAGAAAATTTAGAAAATAGCTTTTTGCTTAGAGCCAAATTATTGAAATTTGAGAGATCTATTGACCCCGCTTATTTCAAACGTATAATAAAGTGATCATTCTTCCAAACATAAGATGAATTACAATGAATTTTTCTCTGCAGGTATTTTTCCCTTCGATATTTGTCAGTTTGTCGTGGCCAATAAATATCGAATTTATATTGTCGGGTTGAGTGAGACTTTCCACTCAGTGTAGGTGTTTGGCACTAGTGCCGTTGCCCAGCGAAGCGGCATAAGCTGCTTGGGCTACATCCCTAAAGCTCCTCGGCCTTCGATGCCATTCCGATGCAGAGTAGTCCCCCGTGACAGCGACGAGGAGCGATGGGGAGCAGAAGGAGCCGCAAGGAGCAGCTAGGAGCACCGAGGAGCATCGAGGAGCAGCAAGGAGCTGCAAGGAGTAGAAAGCTGTCGAACCAGCCGCTGCACTCTGTGTGCATGTTTGTCGATTTGACTACGATTGCGGAAACGTATACAGTTCGTTGATCATTATCCGGTTCGTGATGCCCTCGTTTGCCGGCGACGTGATGCAGTTTTCCGGAGTTGAACGGGCGCTATTGAACTTATTACCAGACAGTTCGCTGGTAGAGGGTATCTGGGCTCTGGGATCTCGGATTTGGTTATTTGGCGAATATGCATCAACAACTAAAACACATTTCACCGGGCTCCCTGCCGACCGCCTGGTTTATGTTTTGCATTAGCGCAATGGCTTGGTCTGGGCAAGGCACTTTGTCAATTGGGGCAGTCGGGCATTAATTTCACTGGCTACTTATGGCGCATTTAACGGCAGCAGCAGATCTATGGGCCACTAATGGCCGGGGCGGTAATTGAATTTTTCATTCCCGTTAATGCCATTTAAGTGGCAATGGTAAATTGCCAAGAATATTGGCCGGTATGTGTTAATTCGGCTTAGCTAAAATGTTGTCTTTCGTGTAATGGAAACAAATACATAATTGTTTTAATTTTTGGAAAGCTAAAAGGAAGAAATCGATTAATCAATATGCAATCTTTTTGATATATTTATTTATTTTTTAATCTAGAGCTTTATACCCCTTAAGATCCATTTGTTAACTAAGTAACAAATTAAAACTATTTACTATAGTGAAATTTGGCAACAGAGCCACTTCCTGTGCAGAGCAGTTAGTCTCGGCTGGAAATCAATATTTGCAACTCAAAACGGGCGAGCATTTCAAATTCGCGATGACAGTTGACAGCCTGGCAGCGGCAATCGCACAAGAAGCTGCCGCTCAAAATCAAATTAGAGCAAATGCGAAGTACTTGAAGGAAATGCGCTGCAAGCACAGGAAACCGGAAGGAGGAAGAACAGGACGAAGAAAGGAAAGGGAACGGAGGGGGATGGGGATGGAGATGGGGATGGGTAGGGGAGGGGGGATTAGGGTGACCCGCAGGCGGAGGTAAAGGTAAAATCAAATAACAAAATCTGATTGAATTGAAACTGAGGTAAGTTGCCGGGCGAACTGATTTATTGATTTTCAAGCAGCGTTTTCAGCTTGGCTTTGCAAATTGAATAAAGTGGAATTTCAGGCGCCCTATTGCTGTCTGTCGTCGCTTTTGTTCAATAGTTTCTCACGGCATTCACACATGTAAGTAGCGTAAACACAATCGCATTTTTTCACTTATTAGTTTAAAACTGACATAAAAAGCCATTGTCCTACAGTTTATTATGAATTTAAATCTCAAAGAAATGCTTAAAAGGAAAAAAAGATAGCTTTGTTAAATTTTAAGCTTCGTGTTAAGAAAAGAGTTGATGGTATTTTTACCGAATTTTCCTCGTTCTTAAATTTTGTGAAAATTCTAAAGAAATAACAACTGTAAAAGAATTCCGAAAGCAACTCAAATTCAATCCTTTGAAGTAGATTTGTGCCTTCAGTTAAAGGATTACCATTTTTAAGTTTTTGATCAGTTTCTGGCTGCGTTTTGCAGACCCAAAAGCACTTCAACTTGTCGAAGTACATTTTTGGAGCTTTAGGCGCATCAAACATTTTATTTACAACACATTTACGCATTTCGGGCTTTCGAACGTGGCACTTTTTTATGTTTTTCGTATTTTTGTCGTTTGTTGTTTGCGTTTGGCGTTGAGTAGCGGAAATAGTAAAAGTTTTCTAATGAGAAAAGTTTCCTCACAGACAAAGAGAGAGGAAGCGCTGGTGAAAGAGACAGCAGGAGCTGGAAGGAGTGCGACGGCAGACGTGCGAGTGGGAGAGCTTTAAGATGTCCTGGAGGAGGAAGAGAGAAAGCAGTGTCCATGTTGTCAGCGAATTTAATCATTCACCACACTCAAAAATTATTTTGTTTTTAATTTTACAATTATCGCTATTAGATAAGAAAATGAGTATTGTCTTTAAAAATTATATTACTTAATAAATTTATAAGCCATTACAAAATCCGGAGAAAGAAAAAGCTGTATCCTATTCAGCACCGAGATCAAATTTTTTGTATTTTTCATAATGGAGTATGCAATTTTTTTAAGTGTATCCCCTCTCTCTTTCTTCAAGGATGTGCGAGTGTGCACATCAAAAACTAAACACGTCAAAGTAAGCAACGGAAATGAGAAAAAAGTGCGCTTATTTATTTTTTGTACTTTCTTTCACGCCCGCCCCCTTTCTCCGCCTCCTTTTGACAGTTTTTGCGATGTCGCCTGCACTTCTGTTTGACTTGACGGGCGAGTGCGAGCGAGATGGACAAGGAGTGGGACAAGGACAGTGAGATCCTCGCGGCGACATCAAAGCGCGTTATAATTCGGAATTATGCAAAGCTTAGCAAACGTGGACGCATTGTGGCGTTTACAAGCGGAAATAATGAAAAATAGCGCGAGAAGCTGAATCATTTGTCTCCTTGGCCAGGGGCGGAAGGGGCGTGGCAAAGCGGGAGCGGTAGCAGATTGTTGCGTAACGTTGTAACCTGTAACGATGTAACCATAGCGGCAACGGAAAACGGAGATTGCAGCTGTAAAGCGATTTCGCCAAAACACCTTGACTGAATGCAATCTAATTGCTGCACTGGAAATAACATCCCAAAAAACATTGCTAAAAATGTATAAAATATTAAAATGGTAAACAAATTCATAAACATTCAATTTAAGTAATTAGAACATTATTTTTAATCTGATAAACCTGTAATAAAAAAATAAAAAAAATTCTCTGTGTTAAGCATTCCGAATAGAATGATTTGATCATGCTATAATTTTCTATTTCCCACTGAAGCGGCAACTTTGAGTTATCGACGTATCTGCAAGATGCATCTTAAACAATCATGTTTTAATATCCAATTAACGTGTTTTTGTCTATCGCCTGGCATGTATCGGCCACAATTTTACGAGATTCTGGATAGCACCGCCAACAAGCCAATTAAACGAAATCCCCCCAGCAGAATTATCGGGTATATAAAGAAGTCGGGATGGGAGCAACCGTACAGAAAACAGCAGGCGAATTGTCCGGGGCATTTTCACCATTTTAGTGAGCCGTAAGAACGTGACAGCTCGGAAATGAAGCTATTTTGCGTTGTTTTGGTTATTTACGTTGTGGCTCTGACCCTCTTCGGAGTCGACGGACGCGGCGGGGGATACACTGGGGCAGAGGTAAGACTCGGTGGTTTGCTGTGACCTATCAACGGGTTAAATCGTCTGTCCTTGCAGGAACCGAAGTTCAACGGGCTGTTCAGGCGGGTAAGTACAATGGGGTCAAACTGAAGGCCAACGGCAGACCCAAAAACCAAAGACGCCAAAGCAGATTAGGCAATCGATTCCAAGGACTCAATGCAATGCCGGCGTGTTATCTGCTTAGACCTCTTAATTCAAACTTATGTTAAATGCCTATTTCCAGGCAAGACATCATGTCTCCGAAATGAAAGGCGGTCTTCTCCACGGCAACGAACCGCCACCACCACCGAAATTCCGAGTAAGAACTTAATTACTACATTAGAAATACCTATGCGCTAATTCAGTACGAATTATTTATTGGCAGTATATACGTTACGAATAGTTTTCATTAGACAAGTAATTCTTAAAAATTAATTGCTTAGAAGGGGATTAAAACGAATTCTATCATCGTAATTATTATTGGCTTAATTAATTCGATATTATTTATGGTCTTTTCCTCAGTCTCGTCGTGATGCATTGGAGGAGTCACTGCTGGCCAATGGGGACCCATCTCCGCCAAAACGTATTAGGGTACGTATACAGAACTCGCAAAATAGTTAAAGTGATGTCTAATGCGTAAGTGCTCCCTGAATCTATAGCAACGTCGTCAGGCTCCACCTGGAATGCCCCCACCACCTGATGGTCTGCCACCACCACCCCAGTTCCGTTAAAGATTCCTGAAGGTATAGCATAAAGTTGGGCGTTTGTGCATGTAAACGGGAACCACATCGAGGCAAATAAAACTAGTTTGAAGCATTCCAAAAAGTACAAAAGCGAAATCTCTTTAAATCGTAAACCATTAGGTTAAAGCACTTCTGGGAAATTGTATAAACTAATCACCTCAGGCAGCTGTTTATTAGAGAGGGAATATAATCCTGGTTACAACAGGTTTTCTACCTGTTACCTTTCTGGTACCCCTTACCTACCTGTTTCTCCTATTTAAGGATGAGTCGGGACTCATCGGCAATCAGTTTACATTCGTCACCCGACAGTACAACAGACCTTAAGATGAAAGTACTCGCTATTCTTCTGTTAAGCAGCCTTACCATTGCGATGGCTTTGGCACTTCCTGTCGATCTCGGTGCAGATGTTCCAGCTGGTGACCAACAGGCAGTTGCATTGGCCGATTTAGCGGATTTGGGAGCAGAAGATCCAGCGGCAGACCAGACCACGAACACTATTCGCCGGCCTCGTTTTTTATTAAGCAAACTGTTTAAGCCACAAACCGTGGTGGTTCAGCCTGTGATCGTTCAACGACCTGTTCAACCATATGGTGTATATCAACAATCCTATCCGTATTATCCAAGACGATTTTAATATACTGCTATCTAACCTATTGTATTTTAAGCAAATTTAATAAAATAAAGAAGCACGACCTTTAAGTCAAAGATTAATGCTGTTGTTTTTATTTGATGCAAAGGCAAATTTCTTAGCGCAAATCCCTTAAGTCGAACACAGTTGCCGTCTTGCTGGCTACTCGACAAACGCTCCTTGGGAACTCTCTAATGCCTAATTAGGCATGCCGGGCACGTAGCACCGATTCCCGAAAAAACTTAGCGAAGGTCGCGCCTCGGTGACGATGACAACAACTGCCACAGAGGACACGACGTTGCGGGATTTTTAAATAATTTCATTTCAGCAATTGGCGGCTGACACAAGAGTTCACAATAAACTTGAAGAAAGGGCACTTTAAGTACTCGTTGTCAATGGTTTAGTGCTGAGGGATATGGAGTAGTTTCTAAATATAAGATTAAATGTATTGAAACTGTTTTAGATTGTTGTGATATTCATAACATATATTAAAGATAACAATTATGTGTTCAGCGAACGCTAGCGTTTAAAAGTTCTGTCCCTATCTTTTAAGGAAAATCTTAAGAAAATGCTTTATGCTTAACTAATAGTTATTAGAATTAACTAATTAGTCATGGGAATGCGGAGGTACAGTTTTCCAAAAGACAAGGTGCCATTATCGAGTCAGGTAGTAAAAGTTACCTGCTCTACTTATTCTTACTATGAAACTATGAGTCAAATCCATCGGTTCACATTAAATTTCAGTTCGTTAGTTGGTAATCACGATGCAAATATTGTTTTGCAAGATTGAACAGATTTGGGGCGACATGGGTAGACCAGATTTTAAACAGTATGTTAACCGACTTCGATTTTTTACTGCAAATCCATGTAGTCCATACTTAAAACATACTTTTCTATTACATTCAGCGAAGATGCATCGCTTATACGGATTTTTATCGTATTGAATGTCAGTTTATTTTATAATAAGAGGTTGCTGGCCTTCAAATCAAATATTTTTCGTGTTGTTGGTAATGGAGCAAAATCTTTAACAGGAAAAACTAGTAAAAATGTATGTCCTACAGATAAAATCAGTACTTCTTCTTGTCATTTTAGAAAAAAGGAAAAAATGTAAATAACATTTTTGGAATTTCGTTTATTATAATTTCGGTTTTGCCAACTATACCTGCATAAGTTTAACCATACGTTATTAAATACGAAATAATGTTAAAGAAATCACAAGCACCAATTACTTTGGGACGCAGTAACAGAATTCCAAGAAATAATTATATTACTTAAGGGTAACTAAGCCACCTGATCGCCTTGTGCAGATGTTCAAGGGAAATGGGAAAAACCTGGGTCAGGTAGAAAGAGCTGACTACTTAAGGACGAGTCAGGTTTCATTGGCCATCAGTTCACAGTCAACGGCAGATCTTACAACACATATTGGGATGAAAGTCGTCGCTATTCTTCTGCTAAGCAGCCTCACCATTGGGATGGTCCTGGCATTTCCTGGTGACTACGTTGCAAGTGTTGCTTTGCCAGTTGGTGACGAGCATGTTATTGCATTGGCCAATCCATCAGATGCGGGATCCGGAGAACCATCGACATCGGCAGACCAGATTACTAACAGCATTCGCCGGCCTCGTCATCTTCTAGAAAAATTGTTTGAGCCAAAAGTGGTCGTACAGCCCATAATTGTGGAGCGATCCTCGCCGTTACAATATCAACAAGCCCTTCCCGGCCCCTATCAGTTCCCAGATCAGTTTCCAAATCAGTTTCCAAATCAGTTTCCAATTCAGTTTCCAAACCAGTTTCCAATTCAGTTTCCAAATCAGTTACCAAATCAGTTTCCAAATCAGTTTCAAAATCAGTACCAAGTACCGAACCAAGAAAGGGAATGGTAACTGTATTTTAACAGGTAATCAAAGCTTATTTAATGTAAAAATAAACGTAATAAAAAATTGTACTAAAAAAACCAATAAAAAGTGTTTTTCTTATAAGTACCAGAAATTGTTTTGTATTTTTAATAAGTGCCAATGACAATAAAAAGCAATCGAAGCTATTTAAGCAAGGCGCCCATTGGATCCCAAGCGGGCAGCTCCTTGGATTTGGGGATTCTGCTAGCATGTAAAACCCCTGGTGGTACAAATTTCTCGTGAACCACAATTTCGAAGGCGTATTCTCTTAACCAGTCTGCTTCCATAAAAATGCCCTTCCTTTTTATCGCCTTTTTCTTCAGTCCTTTCTCTTTTTTAGGTTCGTCTTCCTCTTTAAGGCTCCCAGTTGATGGACTTTCGTCCACAGTCGAATCACTGATGGTGCGGAATTGCACCGGCTGATTCATTGAATCCAGTGCAACAGATGTGAGCAGTAGAGCTGAATCCCTACGGGAATCTTTGTAGAGGAGCCTCTCCGCTTTTGTAAGGGACTGGCCCACTTGACAGCCGAATACAAGGTCAAATCTATGGGATCTTAGGCTTAAGGGCCCGGATTGGGCATTGAGTCTACTGGAAAGATCGCAGCCCAACCAAACAGGCATTCCGCCAACCAGGGAGTCCTTTATGATCTGCATTAGGACGTCCATTGATTGGTTGTTATACCTGTGCGGCTCACCATCTATCATATTGGAGCTGTGGGCGATTGTGTAGTTGGTCTGTGAACTCGAGGACATTCGAGGATCGTGACCGAGGCAAACGAAGGCATCCAGATTGAAGGAACTGGCCACCATCACCTCGTAAAAGTGTACCGAATTCAAGTTGATTAGAGACTGGTGGCGCTTTTTGTGGTCATAAAATGTCCAATCGAAAACTTCCGGTGGTTCCCCAAGGCAAATGCTCAGCACGCGGAAAAAACGAGGCATCATGTCTTCAATGAGTTCGGGCAGTCGGTTGCCATTTCCATCAAATGTGAACTGAGCGTGCAAAGCGCTGGCATATTCACGAAGCTAAGGATTGTAAAACATATATTAAATCAAATAATACAACCAAAAGCTAATACCTACCTTACTCCTCAAAATCTGATTTAGTTTAAGGGTCCGCTGATTGGATAGATAACATTTTTTGGGCATCACGCCGTACTTCTTGACCAGGTTAACGAACATCTGCCAGTTGCCGCCATCTGGAATAGCGTTCTTCATCAAGTGCCGAAAGCGGCGTCCATCGAGCGGCTCACATTGTTTTAGAAGGTCGGCCACTGTCCACAGGAAGTAGTTGCATCTTTCCAGCTTGTGCCAGAAGAGTAAATGGGCTGCGGAGAGTTCGAAGTCCGTCGGAAGTGGCAGCTTCTTATCCATTCCCTGACGCAGGAGGTCCAAGCCCGTGCAAATCCATCCCGGACCATCTGTGGTGGGCTTTTCCTTGTTATCAACCTCGTGCCAAGTTTTTTTTCCGGAAACTTCGGAGTTTAAGTCCGCCTCAGATCGTAGACACACGTTGATCGGATTTCGAGCGGTGCAAAGATTCTGAGCCAGCCGATTTTGCGGAGATTCAAAAAATGCCGACGACCAGGCGGACAACTGCGTTTTGGTCAGCAGAAAGCCCATTTTCGTATCTTGCCTAGTGGGCTTGTTCCAATTGTCGCCAGTGGTTGACATTAAAAAACTTCAAAAATAGACACTACAAATTTAGACGTTTTTTCTATTCGTGCGAAATACCACCGGCCTATTTATTTTATCAAGACCAAGAAAAGCCAATTATAGAACGCTTCTGTTTATGTGCCGACCTATTACAATTTTTATATATAATATTTTTCTACGCTTTTGCTTGAACTTGTCAGTTTTTAGTTTTTTTTCCATTGAAAAATACATTTTGGGAAACCAGGGTTACCAATCATTTTTAATAAAATAAAAATATGCAAGCTTAGCAGCACTATTTTAGTGTTGATAACATAAGTTTTTTTTTAGATAAAATCCTACAAGTGCATCGCAACCCTATTAAGATCAAATATTAATCTGCTTGTCAACGAATCAAACAGTTTGATTTTTTTTTTCATTTGCTTAACAAAAGCTTAAAAAAACAAAGCGCAGATAATTGGCAAACATCTACATATTTGACAGGTAAATAATAAATTAAATTGTTTATTTTTCCATTCAGATCTTTTATGTACATATGTTCTAACACGTAAATACACTTTATAATCTTAAAGCACATTTTTTATATGCATCTGATAAAGTTTAGTGAAGTCTAGTTTATTTTACACGTAACCGGTTAAACACAAATTTTTTTGACGGACCTTAATTTAATTAAGAACATTTCCCAGAATTTGTTCAGTACTGTTTGCTGCTTGCTAAGTGAATTTTTTACTGTAGCGCATTTAGTCAATTTGCAGAGGACAAAAGATCAAGGTCACTAATTAAGAGTTCATTAAATTGGTTTAAAAATACCAATAACAAGTCTGGCAGTCAGATAAGAAGAGGCCAAATAGGCCAGATCTCGCTGGGAAAACCCCTGATCTAAATACTAAGTGCCACCAGCTCGGTAATTGTATTCCAAGCGCCACACGCCCCCAACTGTCTGGACTGCCTAACTAAGCGTTAGGAATTGGAATTAACAATCCCCAATGCCGTTGCGGTGAATTTCCCGCTAATCAATCACATAACCTAAGCTGGACGGCATTTCCCAGTAATTGACCCACACACACATACTTGTGGCCCCAGGTAGTGCGAATCGAGAGATTATGGCTAAGAACCCCTCACGTTCTGGCTGCTAAATTTGCATTTGCCAGCGACAATAGGAGCTTCTGGAGAAGTTAAGATATTGATTTACACCACTTAAAGTTCAAGTCAGTTTGAATGCTGCAAATGCGCTTTATTTCGAGCGACTAATGTCTAATTTGTAATCCTAGACGAAGATGTTGCCCAGGGTTCTCTGAAGTTGGGCGTTGAGATCGGACATGGTTTTTTTGAGATTGTCCTGAACCTCTTGTTGCACACGTTGAACGTATTGATTGGTCTCGGCAACTAGTTTATCGCGATTGTCAAAGGAGTAGCGGTCGCCGAGGAAGGTTTGATCCCCAACCTTGGCAATCACGGTTTTATCGGCCAGTTCGATGATTACATTCCCATTTGAATACTCCACCACAGCCGGCTGCCCGTTGATGTCCACAGTTTCCTGTTCGTTTACACCTGCTGGCTTTGGCTGGAAAGTGTACACCTTTCCGTTCTCGGTCAGCTCAAGAGCTCCGTTTATGATCCGCACAGTATATCCACTGTTGACGATCACACCCCCTTCACTAGAGGGCCCATAGATGAAGCTGTGTCCATTGCTCTGAATTATGTTGGAGCCGGTCCGGCCGTTGATAATAACGTTGCTGTTATAGTTTTGGCCACTTTCCTGGGAGGGGTCCTCTTCGCTTGAGTCATCGTTCGCAATGATCCTGCGTCCATCAGATCCTATCAAGACAACCTTGCCATCGGGTCCTCGGATGATCTGGCCAGCTCCGTTTGATAGGAAGGTGTTTCCATTGCTGTGTACTATCCTCGAATCATCGGATCGCTGAATGTTTGCAGCTAGAAGGTAAATAATTAGACAATTTGGTTAAAACAGTTCACAAATTGTCTGCTGAATAAAATTATGTTTTTGGATTTAGTTGCAGCTTAAATGTTAAGCAGGAAAGCAAGATAATTTATGTGTTTACCGCTAGTCAGAGTGGCGATGGCCACCACCAGTGAAATCCAAGTTCCAGTGCACAAGCCCATTTTGCATTGACTATGCCAATGCCAAGTCAAGAGTCAGCTATTTATACAAGCTCACCAAATATCGGCGCATCAACTCGCAGTCGTTCTATATTCTATATGATCGGTTCTCAGTACTTGTACTCTCCCAGTTGGACAGATAAGACGCGGGGGAAGGTCAGAGGTGCAACTGCCGGGAATTGCCAGCGACAAGTTTGTTTTGTTTACTTGCGGTTGAGCGAGTGATCCACTGAGTCACGGGCTTGCCATTCGACTCCCGATTTTGTTGAATAGACAGAGAGCGGAGCGAGTCAAATCGGGAAAGCTTTTGGGCCAGGCCAGTAGTACGCACATTTGAAATAAACCGGTAGGATGGGAGGGCTACAACATGCATTAAGCTGCAGAAAATAATACAGCACGTGCCGACTTTGTTTTGACGATCAATGCGCGTCATATGAAAAAACCCATAAACCGGTTTTCATCCTTATCAATGAAACTGTTACAATTATCAGTTTGTTTTAAAAACAAACACCCTTATAAAGATATATATTTAAATTTATTAAAATAAATCACAAGGCACTTAAACACAATTTCTAAGTCGTACCTCTTAACTTGAAGAATGAAGAATAAAGTTTAAAGCTAAGATCCTGCATTCAAAACTTGTTGCTTATTTAAGGCCGTTTTTTATGCCTATATCAGAAATTTCCCAAGACTTCAAATGATTGCAGAAAGGTGACCCAAAATCAGACACACTTCAAAATTTGTATATTAAAATTTTAAAAGAAATTGCATTCATAACTTTTTAATTATTGAAAGATGATTTCTTTACATCTATTTAAGCTAAAAATTTCGGGGGCTTGCAGAAAGGTAAACTGCAATATTTGTTTTTAATAAAGTTAAGAATAATCTTCTGTTTAGTGGTTTCTTAGTATATATTTGAATATTTATTTGAGTATGACAATGAAAAAGTATAATCGTAAGAATCCAGTATACTTCTAAGAAAAATGTAGTTTAGTAAAGTTGCTTAAAATTATTCATAAATTCGCGGAAAAAAATGCATAACGACTCAGATATTCGTCACGACTTCCACGCTTTATTAAAATTAGTAACGCCATTTGCCTTTCCCATTCGAGTGGATGATTATATTATCGGTAGACTCATCTTCTCCGCCGTTCCAGGCGGGTCCACCAATTGGTCCGCTATTGGAGGCAGGTCCCCAGTGCCAGCGGGGATTGCCGTAGACTTTGGGACATGTAAAAATATTTGTTTTATAAATAGAAGAAGAATCTATATTCTAGCTTCATCACTCACCGCTGAGAACAGCGAAGCAGAGCCAGAGCAAAAGCACCGCGATATGCTTACTGAGGAACATGGTCAAGGCGAGGAGTTCCAATGATGTTGCATTATATAGACACACTTATTTTATACGGCTCCTATCGCCAAGTCGCTCTCTATCTCTCATTTGACTCGTATCTCTTGGATTGCCAAAGTCCCTCTCTTTCTCTTTTTGTGTTTGGAAACGTGGAGGGGTTCGATAATGGCCCCAGCTCAATCGCCTTATGCATAATGCAATTTTCTGTTCTTTGCACTCTTTCAATTCGCAGTCAAAACCCTCGTTCTACTATTGTTACCTAGAAAAAATACGTACGTATATCGCAAATGCTACACAGAAAATTTGTGGTAGATCAGGAATTAGAGTGGTGCTTAACCAGCAAAATTAGAAAAAGTAAAACTTAGATAATTCTTTCAAACGTAAGTGACTCCACTTTTAGAAATAAACAATATATGTATAGTTACTTAAAAAATCATACCTAGTGTATCTGGCATCATTTTGTTTAGTGTAGACGCACAATAGTCGGGCAATTAAGAAGTTTCGCCATGTGGCTACGTTTCTAATTATTTTCAATTGAATTGCTTTGCTATACGTAAAACTTTTTCCATTGCTAGTGCCATTAAACATATCGTCGAACTGCTCGCTCCCACCTCGGAACCCGGCCATTGACATTATCCATGGCCCCCAAGCGTCGAATGGGCGAGTCGTGGGTGGGTGTTTGTATCTAACCTGCACTGCATTGGGAAAAGTTAAGCTCTCGCCGAGCCAAGTTTTACAATAAAAATTAAACAGGTATTGCGCTGTTTGTTAATGACAAGTGCTTCGTTTGAGTGGCTGTGGATTTGGATTAGGTGGACAGGGGGTGGGATAAATACTCTGGAAAATAAAGCAATTGCAAAGCGTAGAATAAAAAGTTGGACTTCCATTTGGCGAGAGACTGAATTAGTAGGAAGTGCAAATTATTGCAGCCACTTAACATGTTAGTTTGTTGATTATTGTTTTGTTAAAGATTTACTACCCGAACTTATGCGCATTAAACATCGAGAATATGGACCTTGTCAGTTGGAAACTGGAATTGATTTTTAAAAATAATTTGCTTTCAATTGGTTGTTGCAAATATTAAGCTGGTTTTATTTTTGTGGTTTTATTTTTGGTTTTATTTTTGTGTCAAAGAAAGCAAGTCAATTTCAACTTTTAATTGACCCAAACATAAAACTCTAAGTATACATATTTTTTTGAGTTTGTCCAATAGAACATTATTTTCTACAAATTGACTTACTTGTTAAATTATTTATCGCATTGTTGTTACACGTTGAGACTGTAATTGAATTCAGGCTGTCAAGTGCAGGTTAAGAAGCTTAATTTAACCTCAATGTGTTGCTTTGGCTTTTATTGCCACATCCGATGTTCTTTATTGTATTTATGTGCGTCTTACATTAGCCCAACTGCAAACCGAGATCAGAAATGTTTCCAAACGGCGGGAAGATAAACGACTTTGAGTCTGAAATACGGCATGTATGTAGGTTGGTCCATGGACGTCGGCTTCCCACTTGAACTGGGGGAATTCCCCATACAATCTGCGACTGGTCAAAGGCAAATGCGTATCCGTTGTTGTTGCTGTTGCTGTTCCTGTTGCTGCCGCTGCTGCAGTGCGAATCGAATCGATTTGATTTTCCAATCAATTAAACTTTATATAAATTGCGTCTGCGATGCTAAATATAACAACAATTGCAGAGCGAAAGCAGAGCCAGCAACAACAGCAAACATTTCCACAAAGCGCAGATAGAAAATAGCACTAGAGGTATTTGTTCTCCCACTCTGTTTGTTCCTCCCCCTTCCCACCTATCTTTTTATCCCCCTCTCTCACACCTCCTCTAATTCGCTCTCTGTCGCTCTTCAATGTCTCTATCAACGGCTGACTGCACAAGTACAAAAAAAGTGTGTTCATCGGGGGATCCCCCTACACTGAGATATAAAAAATGCAATCCAGAATAATTAAAAAAAATTAAGGTATTTTCTTTTTGCACCTACACACCTTTGCTTAAGCATTTTATTTGGTAATTAGATGAGTATATCCATAGAAAGCTTTAAAAGTAAGTGCCTAAGTTACAATTGTTTTAAGATTTTAAATCGCATTAATTCTTTATAAATATAGGTTTAAAATATGAAATATAACACTAACTAACATTGAATAAAAGAAAGTATACTACTCAGGTGACTTGTGACATCAATCTTATTCAAACTCTACGTATGTGTGTACTTAAAAATTTAAAGATTTTTTCGCTCTGTGTAATTTCCAATTGAGTGGGAAGAGTAGTGGATCTGTTGTTGGTAAGGAAAGGTAGCTTGGCTCTGGGACACTGCATATTGCACGACTTTGACTGCATTTTCGCATTTGGCAAATGTTTTGTGTGTGATTTTGAAATGCAGACGATGATGTTGGGCTGCTGCAGATGACTTGCGACGTGAGCCATTGTTAGAAGAGAGTCGGGAGTGGAGAGGAAGGCCAAAGACACGGAAAGTGCATTTGATCAATCGAAAATGGCAACAATCTCGAGTTTTAAAGTACTTGCACAAAGGCAGGTGGTCTTAATGAACACAATTAGCCTAATAAGTAAACAACAACTTGGGGCAAAGTGAGCGCCAGCGAAGCGACATTAATTCAATTATTAAGGCGAGCTTTATAGGCATTACCTGCAAGAGGATGAGGATTCATTAATGCTAATTGAGTACACAGCCCCGGAATATATGTTCATATATATATATATTTGTTATGATCCAGGACAACAACACAAGTGTTTTCGAATGTACATAGAGCCTGCAAATTACATTCTGTAGATGCAAATTTATTTACTCGGTGGCTAATTTGGTTGTTTAGTGATAGAAGGAACTTTAAGATGCAATCTATTCAATCACTTTGAACCAATAAACTAATAAATTAGTTTCTAATTTGATGGAAGCTGATAATAGCTAGCTGTTTCTCACAGATTCACTTGCATTTCAAAGTAGTCGTGGTATAACCTAAATTAATTGATGACACGAGATGGTAGTAAACTTAAGTGAAGTAAATTCTTAGGTTGTTGAATCTAGTTTTTGCAAATGCTTAAGTGGTTGTGATTTTCCAGAAGCATCTGAGTTATATATGTTTCTTACCCCTGAGAAAACATCATCGACAACAGCCTGACAAAGTTATGCCATTCTTCTCCATTTTGCTCAATTTTTTATTCCTTTCAGGACATTTTGCACTTGGACTAATTTCAAAGAGCCATATATCAGCATCTCCCCAGTCCACCCACCCACAAACAGCCTCACGGAAAATTCCACTCTCTCCGCTTGTGAAAAGACACCTGTAGACTGGCAAGTCTCACACCACCCACCTTGCCACCCACTAACCCCTTTTCACGGGAAAAAACCTGACAAATGTGCGTCAAGTTACTGGCAACTTATTTTCCACGGCCACGCCCCGTGTCCGCCCACAGTTTGAACCGAAGTTAAGCAAAAATATTTAACTTGGTGGCAGCGGAATCTTTTATAATTAATTTGCCACTCTGCCGGCTTTTTTACTCGCGGCTCACGACTTGCGGGCCCCACGTCCCTCGACTTCCCTTTTCCAGAGTTGGACGTCGGCTTCATATTTTACCCATTAGATGACGCCCGCATTTTCGTGAAATAGTTTCAGCCCGGACACGTATTTATATTCATGGGCGAATGTTACGTTTTCTTTGGGCGTTCGCTGTCTTTAAGTTTTCTGATTGCGATTTATGGGGGTCGACGCCAGGAATAACATACAGAGTGGAAGACTCAGCACGAGATTTGACATTTTGAGAGGAGCTTGATTTATACTGATGGCCTAGGTGAAAGATGGTTTTAAGGATAAAAGCAATTTAAAGTAAAATCTTAAACTTCCGTTTCCTTTCATTGTATATAGTAACACTCTTTTATTCATTGGTATAGTTAAAACTGTATTATGTTGTGAAAACTTCTTTAAACCTGTTTAATAATACGTATTGTTCAATTTATTTATGCAACCTTAGTTGAATAGAGACTTCCATCTACATATTTCTGCTTACCTCGTTTTAATTCAAAACCTTGCTGAACAGTGTACGAAGTTGACTTTTAAAGCTATACAGAAAAGTGTCTGAAAAGTAATGCTCGAGATCTGAAGCTTATTTTAAGCTTCAAAAATGCTGATAAGCTCTTCGACTTTTTCACGTCATCTACTGATTGATGGGTTATCTGATTCATTGAGCTATTTGCTAATTCTTGTTTGCTTAGGTCTGTTTATTTTTTGTATTCTCGCTGGCTGATCTTGGAAAAAACACGAATCGTTTTGGAAGATCAGTCATCTATTTGCTCTCTTCATGATGAGGTCGTTTTTGTTTGTGGCGATGCTGCTGATTCCTGGTTCCAGTTTGGCACAACTGGTTTACAGAGACTATGGCTTTCCATTCAGAGGAGGATTGAATAGAGGACAAGATGGTCTTATTTATGAAGGCAATAGGGGAGGCCCCTTTTATAATGGCCATCTTCAAACTCGATTAATTTCCGAAGGATACACTGGGGGCCCATTCGGCGGTAATTATAGAGAAAATGGATTGATCAGTGGTGGTAACACTGGAGGACCTTTTGCCGCTAACCAAAACCAAGGAAATTTAGTTTCCGGAGGAAATAGTGGAGGTCCCTTTTCTAAAAACCAATGGACGGATGGCTATCAGTCTTCAGGCTATCCCGAAAGTGGTCTTATTAGTGGCAGTCAAACTGGAGGTCCATTCGCCAACGAAGATCTTATTTCAAACACCAACAGCGGAGGTCCGTTTAGCCAAAATCCAGGAAGATATGGAACACCGGGCCAAGGTGGTCTGATTAGTGGCAAAAGGCCAGGAGGTCCTTTTGCCCTGGATGACAACGAAGAAGGAGTAATTTCTGGAGGAAGTAGCCAAGGTCCCTTTGCACAAGGTGAAAGTGGTCTTATAAGTGGAACCAAGAAAGGAGGGCCATTCCAAAGTGATAATCAACAAGAAGGACTAATTTCTGGTGGGAACAGTGGAGGTCCTTTTGCCAATTCAACTGATCAAGGACAAGCTGGAAGTGGTTTGATCAGTGGCAGTAATACTGGTGGACCATTTGGCAACGGAAAGTAAAGGATACTTAAATTTAAATATAAAAGTAGTATCGTAGTGGTATAAAATTCAAATAAAAAACACTTGAATGCTACAAGCATCGAAAGTACATTAAGTGCTCTTCACCTGAGGCTTATGAAAAATGTGTTCTGAGTTTTTTTTCGGTCGTAAGTAGGTATATATTTTTTCCCCACTTTCCGCATTAAGTTGTCGTCACAAGTCATTTTAGCGCCTGAAATCTGAAAAAAGGTTGTGAAAAAATGTGGACTATATGGGCGTTAAATGAAGCGTGTGCCGAGTGTCCATGTGGGTGGGTGGCGCAAAAACGGGTGGTGCAGGTGGAAATGGGTGGTGCTGGTGCAAGTGCAACTGCAACTGCCACAATCTTGCCGCTAGCTGGATTTTTGCGCCAAGCGAAATGAGAAAATGAGAGCAGAACTGCTGGCAAATGTTGCTGACAGCGTCACTTAGTCCGCTTTCTTCGTGCCACAGATATATGCACTCACACGCTCACCTGAATATATGGTAGGTATATATGTATATAGTCGGGTAAATAATTGCAAAAAAGTGCAAAGGCAGTATGCCTCTCCGCACAAATTCTTAATGCACTGCAAATGAGATGTGACAAATGGCCTGACCAGGCATAATAATATATTTATTATTCCATATTACACCAATTTACCGAGGTATGTGTGCACTATGTAATTTTCTAAATTCTGGGTGTCTGTGTACACTCAACTTTCACGGTTTTCGATTCTCGGCTGAAAGCGGTCAGGGAGCCAGGTCAAGCGCAAGGCAGAAAAAGCTAACACAAAACAGTCGGTCCCAGGAGCGGATTTAGGAATATAATGGTCCAAACCAACATGAACAATAAACGTTAAGAATGTATAATACACCAACTTTATATACCATAAATCACTGCTTCTGCATTATCTAGCAGGAGATGATCATAGTATAAGGATTTATTACTTTATTTATCCTGTTGGTTAAAGTTTCTTATGGAAGGTTAAAAATAATTTAAACTTATGCCAATATAATATTTAATATTTTGAGCAAGATTAACTTAGACTCCCTCAGGAAGATAAAAAATAACTTCTTTCGAGCCAATTTCAAGTCGATTAAATGGCTCCCACCTTGTGCTTTGAAAAGAAAACCTTTCAACACACGCAGAATCGGAAACTTCTAAATAACTATAAGCTTACCAAGGGCAACTTGAACTGGAACTGAGATGGCAAAAAGTTTTATCTGCTTTCTGTTAGCCTCGAGGGAAAGTTAAATGGTCTAAGAGCAACCTTTTATGCAGTTGTTTATGGTCGTGTGTGTATAGAGGGTGGTGGACCCATACCTGACGAAATTCTTTGCTGCATTTTTTCTTGTTTTTGGTGTCCTCGGTTGCGTCTCTTCAATTTATAGCGGCAGTTTTTGGGTGTCGCCCTTTAAACACGCTTGATGAGCGGACAAGGGAACTTTTCAGTATGATTTATACGATCCGGATACTAACTTGCGTATCTGTGACAAAGTGTTTCTTTGATTTATGGCCCTAATGGGAAAAAATGAAGCCATGCAATGGTTTTCAAATACATTGTTGTGCCAATTGTGGTGAAAGGGGTTTGAGAGTCTGCAAACGGATTTCCTACAAAACTTGTTGAAATGAGGGTTAAAGGCATCTTCCGTTCTTTAATTTGTGTTGAGTCTTTTAGCTTATGTATACAAAAATTATTATACCATATTTTGAATAGGAATTAGAGATTATAATTTTCTTAAAATAAAAAAAAAACAATCCGGATCCCATTAGGTCTTTTAGTTTGTTTTATTATGCGCGGATTCAGTTTCGTCACAGCATGTTTATGACGGGGTATCAATAAAATCTTAAAAGGCTCATAAAAAGTGTGTTCTCGAAAGGTCAAGCGTAAGTTGAGTATAGATGGTTTTTTGTTTTGCCACTGACAAAGCTATAAAAGAGTAATAGCTTTATTAACGCTTAGTTTAGTTCACAATTATATTGATTGTGTTGTGACCGTTGGCGATAATCGGTTGATGACCACCGTTGGAACCGTTCACGTCGAGTACCTGGGAATCACCTCCGCCAACGACATAAGCCTGGTTATAATTGTGGTAATCGACGCCATTGTACCTGGCAGTAGTCCAGTAGTATAGAACATCTCCCTGCTTGAGTTCCTGGTTCCGGTTGCGATAAGTCCAGCGTCCATTCCGGGAACTCACTATATCGGCGGCCCACGTCTGATCGGACAGATCGTCCATCTGCTCGTTGACTTTGCCGTGAAAGGCGAACAGCGAGATTCCGGGCTGATGGGGAATGGAGACCTCGAATCCTCTCGGAGAATTGACCTTGACGGTGGCCTTGGGCACATCGTAGCACACACTCCCGCCCACGGAAATAGCGACTAGGAGCAGATAGACTGGCAGCTTTGTGGTTCCCGACATCGTGGTGGTAACTGGATTCTGTCGGGAGCTGAGACCCGGCTTTTGTAGCCCGCCATCCAAAGCTTATCTCGTGTTGCTGTTTCTTATTTTTGTTGTCCCGCGTAAGCTGAAAAATTCCCACCGGTGCATCCCCCCGCAGCAAGGGGAGCTCTGCCGCGTGCCCAAAAGTAAGCAATAATAATATTTACATAGCAATATTTCTACAAATTAAGAGCGAAGAACGAAGCTGAGCATTTGGCTAGAGAATCGATGTGCGACATGGCTTTTTAAATAAAAAAGGAGTAAGATTAAATTAAAATTAGAGTGAAGAAGTATTTCTAAAACAATGTATATTTATAAATTAAAGAATAACATTTTGTTGGCTTCGAAGATTTAAAGTACATTAAGGGAAATTTTATTTAAATTATGTTCGCTTTTTATATGAATATTAGCTTTGTTTGAATTTTATTTTAACTGGAATATAATTTATTAAAAAAATAGCTTCGTTTAGTTTTTTGGGAACTAAAATCCTAATAAAGTGTCCACTGCCACTCCCCCTTTTGCCTACTGTGCGTTGCATCCCCCGGCAATCCGGGAATTCGGCCGCGTGCCTGAAAATATGCAATACAAATATTTGCATAGCAATATTTCTCAAGAATGAGAACGGGAAGAGCTTTAAGCCATAACCGCACCACATGTGTGCGGTTTGCTTTGGGACAACGACTCCTTTGTACCGAAGGACTTTATCTACATACAGGCACATAAATATATGCAGATGATCCGCCCGCCTTGTTGGCCGCACAGCAATCTTGCGGCATTGTTGCCAGTCCTGTTTTACTTTTGGCTGCAAGTATGTAAGTACTTGCCACTCACCTAAACTAAGGCACAGGATCCTTCGTCGGCATTCGCGTGGCAGACAAAGGGAAAGGAACGCCTTCCAGAGGGAGATACTTAGACAGTCAATTGCTGTCAGTGGCCCAAAGTCAGGGTGCAATGTTAACTATGTTAAATGGCGGTTTAGACCAGGAATATAGTCGCTGTTCTCAGGCCAAAGATACTGACTGTTTACGTTATCAGGCAAAGTTCATTGCTCGTTAAATTATTTTTAAGTTGTTATTGTAAAAGTTAATATTCTTGGGTTTCACAGCAATGTTCAGGCTATCACTTGTAAGAGTCAAAAAGTTTATAGAGTATAACTTAAAGAGACTTTTGGACTTTGATCTTCGATATCTTTGATATTGGTTTGCTATTTAATTCTCTTTGTTGCTGAGTTAAGTTTGTGTTAAAATCTCTTTATATAGCCTTTTCAGTTCCCAAGTGGGCTTGCCAACATTTTATCTGGGTTATCAGCACTTGGAACCTCTTTTTCGCCTCTCCCGCGAGCACACTTTAAGCGGCTTATGTTCCTGGTGGACTCCGTCGAACCAGATGGTAGTTAATTCTTAATTGCCCTGCTATTTGTCAAACAAAATGATTCAGCTAACCAACTCGGACGCCTGGCTCTCGCCGGACTGACAATTGTCCCAGAAACAACATTAAAACACAAAAGCGCAATATCAACTTCTGCCCACCGCAACGTCCCCCAAACAACGAACTACTACAAAAAAAAAAAAAATGGGATTTGGGTATGGGGTTGGTTGGAGTGATGGGGATGGGCGAAAACAAGCAAAGTCAAACCACAGCAAACCGAAACTAAATAGCCGAACATTTATACAAGCAATCTATCCGGGGCTGGCCGCTCAATCTATTCATTCAGTCATTCATTCATTCGGGCGTCCACTCACTCGCTCATTCGTTCAGCTGTCCATCGCAATGCGGGTCGCGATGCCGGGGTCATCTATCCTCCAAATGTTTGCTGATGTTGCGCCCAAGCGGCTGGCGCTGATTTATAAGCTGCATGCCGCTGACCACTTGATTGCGTATCCCTATCTCTATATCTCTCTCGCTTCCACTCGCTTCTCCATCCGCGTGAGTGTGTGTGTGTGTGTAATTTATTTACGTTAACACGCGCTCTGGCCCAAAAACCGGTTGGCTAACACCCGAAAAAGCCGGTAGAGGATGAAGAGCAATTTTCATTTATTTTAAATGGCATAGAAAATTGCAAACTGACATTTTTCTGGCCCAAGTGCTCAGCTTCGGTTTTGGCCCCATTCCATCTTTCGGTTCCATCGGTTCCCAATGGCTTTGTGCACACAGCCGGAAATTTGTGTAGTTGGTTGTTGCTAGTTGCTAGTTGCTAGTTGGACTGGCATTAGAAGCCGGCCCAGGTCCCAGACTGATTACCATGAAATTACATTGTTTCGCACTTAAAACATGCCGCCCAGTGTAAATGTGGGCCAAAAGCACTGTCTCCCTCTCTCTCTCTTTCTCTCTTTCTTTCTATCTCTATCTCTGTCTCTCTTGATTTGTCCCCACACCCGTTTCGGCTTAATTAAGTGGCCTGTTTTTATCTGTGGCAAACATTTCTTTGCCTCACCAACACGTCCAGCGCCCAGAATGCCCAATCCCATCCACCCTCAATCAGGATTGAATTTAATTGCTTGCATTTATTGTTAATTGATTTTATTTTTAGCAGTTTAGCATGGAGTGGTTTTTTCGGGCCGTCAGGTGCTTGGCTATTTATTCGGGCGTGATTTAATTTGTTTGGTATTTGCCTAAATTGAATGAAAATTGATTTCAAACTTAATCAAATTTTTTAAAACTGTCAATGATGCATGTCAGAAGCCACAGCAACAACGAAAAAGGGTTTTTCCCTACAGGAATCCCATTCAGCTGTTGAGCATAATTTAATCAGCGGGTTGATACAATATTTTTCTGAATAATTTGGTGTACATTGCCGAGCGCTTGTAATGGTTTTTCTGATGGATCAACTTGTCGGATATGCAAAATTTAATAACAGTAAAAAGTCCCCAATAAGCTTACCCGCGAATATTCTTTCAAATTAAAATTTCATAGTTCGCATTTGTATGATTTTTTTTAGAGCTATTATAATTATGCTTTGGTGGTTACATGTTGTCGAATTTTATCCTCACTTGTTAAAAAAATGGAAAGATTTTGAATATATTTTCGTTTATGCACAGCTTGTTGATATGAATTATTTTTGATAATATTTCTTATAATAGTCAGTTTATCAACAAAAATGTAATATGTTTGGTTGGGAACAATCCAGAGTAAATACATATATATTGATAGACTGCAATGTTTTAAAAATTACTTTAGCTTACATTTCAGCTGTGTTACAATTACTAATATTGGCTTTTAGTGTTGTCAAACACACAGCATTTAGATTCTGTGGTTGTCTGGATGGCCGTCTTAATGTTATTCTCATTGGTTGCTTTCGACACTGTCTTTGCATATCCATCTCAATTTCCCCATAATCAATTTTACTGAGCTCCGGCAAAAGCAAACACCTCACGCACATCCATGTTCGGGTACGTATATCTGGAGAGTAAGCAATAAGCCAAGCCAAGATCTATCCAAGCATACACCTGTCATAGCTCACACTCGCTCCCCATCCGATTCTCCATCGGATTCCCCATCTACCCTCCAGTTTTGTGAACCACAACCACTTCGCTTGTAGCTGCCGCCTTGCACACAAGTTCAGTTGCTCAAACACGGGGACAGTTCTCCTCCGGCCGGAGTACCTCACATTTTCCCATATCGCCCAGGGCTCCTTTTGCCAATGCGCACATATTTAAAGAGCAAACGTTTATCTAAGTTGTACCGTTGCGGTTTCCGTTGACATTCAAATGCGGAAGCACCTGTCGCCCAGTCGAGGGAAACCGGTGACTGCGACTCGAAGATGTTCCACTCAGGACACCCAAGATGGGGAGTTACGACGAAGTGGAGTTAGGATGAGGGTGGGGCTGCCATCCACTTCCGATTTCACACGCATTCGAACGGGGGCATGAGCACTGGATATTGCGAGGGTGGCTTGTGTAGATCTCGAAACATAAAGCTTAAGTAACAGTAATTAGAGTTTTGTTTGGAGCCATGAGGAAATATTTGTTGCAATTCTAATGTATTCCTTTAAAACAAATGTACATGTTAAATCAAAATCCTTGATGGAAATATTGATTTGTTTGTTGTATCATGAAACTAAAAAAATCGGTCAAAAAATAAGAAAATTCCTAATTTTAATTTTGGTACGAGAATTGAAATTCAAACGCTTAGTATGCCATTTAAAAATCGGATTCAAATTAGAAAAGTTATGGACGAAGAATTAGTGAATTTTGTTACATTTTTAGCAACAATTATATGTATGTGTTTTGACTTTAAAGCACTTGGAAACCAAGCAAAGGCATATATTTTATTATTTAGTCAGCAAATGCAATTAGCATACCAGTTTTGTGAGAACTTTTCCGTGCCAACCTCGGGCGGAACGTGGCCGGATACACACTTCGCTGGGCATACACGACAAGTTTCTAGAGATCCCGCCGGCGTACCTGGCTGGCAGCCCTCGAGGACTTTGCCACTTTGTAGTTGCTTTTGAATTCTCAAGTGTCTGCGTCGTCAACTTTAAATGGTTTCGCTTACACCTCCAGCATGCCATTGAACAAATTAATTACTCGACAACTTTACAAGCGTTCCGATGGCTGAGGCGCCACCGCCGCAAGCAGTGGAATGCCTCGTCCGCCCCGCAGCATCGTGGTTTCCTTCTGCTCAAGCGGCTGCTCATTAGAGTGCTGCATATTGTTCGAAAGTCGCCATCATCGCCATCATTATCATCGCCATCGTCATCGCCGTCGCCATTGCCATCGCATATCCTGGGTGCCTGCAAAAAGGGTGCACACGCATTTTCGATTGCTGAGCTCATTAATAATGGGCTATGGTGCAATCCTGGCCGTGTATTTGTGCTCAGTGTGAGTTATGTTCACGCTGGCCATTGGCCCACAAAGCATCCCAAATGGGCATTATTATAGCGATGTCATGTTGGAGTGACACGAAGTTGTGTTCTGCATACAACATCTCCCAGCTATTTAAGCTATATGCATGTGTTTTCAATCTCAATTATACTTCTACTACAATTGGATAT